TACATTTAATGTGACAAAATATAAGTTGGATACATCGATATGTGACTGAGGTACTTTATAGTTTGACTTTCTCAATGTTTCCCATTATTCCACCTGTATTTGTACTTGTGTGTTGTTGATTTTTTTCCGCAACAAGCACTATGTCATGGCTGTGTGTCGATAATTGAATCTGGACCAGACACACCAGTGGTAGATATTACGACCAAGTCCCATCCCTTCGTATTACGATGACACCTAAATCAACTCAGTCACGGATTTTGACAACCTATCTAATCTACCCACTTCTTACTACGACAACCAAAGGGTTGGGGACCCAACACGGATCTGTGTAACTGTGCTTCATATAAAGTGGTGAAAGTGTTGTGTAGGGGAGAGGTCCAGAGTAACAGCCAGCCTTGGCAGTACAGCAGTAAGGTCTGTTAAACATGTGCAACACGTGGGCGGACATTATTCTGCAGCAACGTGACGTTACGTCCCTGCATTTGCACAAAGGGAGAACATTACCCCGAACGATGTCGCCGTGGTAGAGTACGTGTTGAGTTGTGTTCTTCCAAGAGTTGTTATGCCACCCCATACCGCTACAGTTCCATCCCCAATCTGACGACGTTGAGTAACGCAAAGCGTCGCTACAACGTTCTCCTGGACGCCTGTAGACCCTCGCATGACCATCAGAGATGTCCAGATGAAACCTGGACTCATCTGTGAACAGTATACTGTCCCCGTCCTCTTTTCCAAACCTCAGATGCTGTCTTCATCAAGCTGGGTGTGCCTGGCGGTGATTGGAAGCAAAATTGGGCGCATCGCTGGACGTCGGCACCGGATATTGTGCACCCTCATCCGGTTGCGTACGCTTGTGCCACTATTTGGTCTCAACCCAGGAGTTGTCTGAACTGCGGTTTATGGTTTAAACATATTTCTATTTCATAAATGAAATCTCGGTCGGTAAACAGGCACAACATTGCATTTATAAATACCGCTCCAGGAAAAACAGATTACCTTTGATAACGTTATGTAAACTAAACATGTTTATGTTGAATATATATGAAACCGTATGCTTGAGCTAATGGTGTCTGAGTTAAAGGAATGTGGTATCTCAATTTCAATATTTTATTAAAAATATTTTTAGATTACTTTTCGAAATCTCTTTCTTTTTACAATTAAATCGTGGACTGATTTAAGAATTTTCTATCAAAATTGCGGATGAAGAGCTGCCGTTTAAAACTGTTTTCGGGTACATGCATTGATGATATTATTTCTAATATTTGCATAGTTTCTGCAAGTAAATAGAAAATCTAAAGCATCTTCGAAATGATACATTCATTTGCAGTCTGGTCTGTCTGATACATGTCCATTCAGTTTATGAGCGTTTAATTCGCTACAGCCGAGCCTGGGGCGACAATACATAATTTGACGGAATTTGAATCGAAGTTTAAGTCTATATGTTTACATGTGGTGTTAGGGCAATTGACTAGAGTGTTAAATTCTCTAATGAGAAAGCGTTAATAAAGTTATTGGGAAGGGCATTCCACAGTTTAATTATACTTGGAAGAAACGAGATTGCTTGCCTTTAGGTCCTACAATCGATGTTCTTGGACATTAGATCCATCCCTTAGATTATAATTAATATTATCTGAGATTTGAGCCGGAAAGTTTAGTATGACTCGTGCCGCGAAACGCACCGCAAATAGTCCTGAGAGCGTCCAAATGCAGGTTTTCTAATGAAACAGATTGTTCATTTGTGCAATTGTCCCACATGTGACGAAGTATGAAAAAACTTATACATTATCTCTAGGGATGCCTATTTCTTGCCTTATTGTCTTATCCCCAAATTGTACGTCGATGTTTCATATCCAGCATTTCACATATTTCTTTCCCAGTGAACATCAGATGGCATTTGTTTCCATTTTTTACAAATTCTCCTGAACCTCTGAATATAGATACGTAACTGTATCTGTTGTCACCATGTTTTGTAACAAAGGCCCCATGGATTAACGAATGGTTTGGCATGTGGGATAGTGGTGTACAAAGTTGAAAAATTAAATGTTTTGACAGAATGGAACTTGGTTCTTTTCTGAGATTGCAAAAAGTCAAGCAAATCCTTTGAGTTTTTCAGAATCCACATGGTATTAATTCCACTTGTCTCAAATACTCTCTGTGAATATATAGAAAGTCCTTCCTAGATTGTATTAAGGATTATGGTTATTCTTTGAGACAGGGATCAGACGCATATCAGCATAATAGGCATAGTTTGGATATGATACTCTACACAAGGTGGGATGAATGTCATTAAGGATTAAGGATTGTGTATTTTTTTCGGTTCATTGAGGCATTTCATCGTGTTTTTTATGATATTCTGCAGCCTTGGCTTGTGGCATCTTGTTGGCCCTCTGATCTTGATGTTTGGGCTGGGCCTTACGTAGAATTTACGTAGTTTATCATCGAGGTCTTTGGGGCTTATCGATGAAAGATCTAAAGTTGCCCCACCAGTTTCGGTCGCCCAATCTTAAAAAGATATAGCATAGCCCAACTTGATTTCTATGTTGATTTGGCCGAGATACAGATATATGATCACAAAAGAAAAAGTTACGAAAAACTCCTATCACATATCATGAGGGACTTATATAACGAGGAATATTGGGCCAAGATATGAAATGGGAATCTACTGCATCATTTCAGAAGGAAATGTAAAATAAAATCCAGTTGCATCTCTAGGCGTAGACAACGAAATATGGCTCCCGATTTTCTTATATAGATTGTAGGCAATACCACCATGATCACCGTGAGGCTATATTTATTTCATTTATTTTGGGAACATAGGGCTTACCTTGAAACATTTTTACAGCCCATTTTGTATTTCTTATTGCCTGCTTTCGTCAAGTTGTAGCAAGTCTCGATCTGATAATTTCTTGAATATTGACGCTGCTAGCGTTGGACCTATATTGTCTTGTAAAGCCATTTCCATTTCTTGAGTTGCAGTTTTGGGAGTAGTTGAATCTCCACAAATTTTCTATTTCTTCCAGATTACAATCATCCAGAAAATCTAAATCATCGAACCCGGGACCAAATATGGCATTGTCTCCAGATTGAAATCCAAATACACTCTTTGAATCTCCTACATCAAAACTTCCGTAATTGAAGTCGGCCATATTGTTGCTTTGTACTCCAGACGACGCAGACGATTATTTCTGGACTGCGCGTGATAAATACGGTAACTACGGATACCAGACAAGACATACATACCTGTAAACTCTTTATTTCGTTAGTGGGGCGGTCGGGTAGCCTAGTGGTTAGAGTGGTTCGCTCGTCACGCCGAAGACCCGGGTTCGATTACCGACATGGGTACAATGTGTGAAGCCCATTTCTGGTGTCCCCCGCCGTGATATTGCTGGAATATTTCTAAAGGCGGCGTAAAACCATACTCACTCACTTATTTCGTTAGTAAACTCTTTATTAACTTTGAATCATGTGATTTGTGTTTTGTTGTTGATATGTTTGATATCCCAAAATAACATTAAAATGTTACTAGGCCTGATAACTCCATGATGATACCGGTGAGCAGAAAGGGAATTCCCTCCACTGTTCACTGGCATTCGTCGGGCAGTTGATGGAATACCTCGGGCTTAGGCAAATGATAATGCCCTGAAAAATAGCGTTACCCTTATAATATGTGTCAATTGGCCAGCATCACCTTACCAATAACAGGTGTCCAAGGACAATATTGTGAAAAACCATATGAATAGTTTGCTAAAATGTCAACATATGTCCAAACTTGCGTCAACGTTTTCCTTTAAATAGAAGCAACAAAACCCTTTCAATATTCATGCTGAACGCATTATTTATACCAGCTACATCGAAACTTTGGAATATTCTACCAGGAAACCTAACGGGGGCAGAGGCCGTTATGCAAGTTGAGGACCTACTACAAGGAAGGGGAGATAATGGGTATACACTGGGATTTAAATTGTGGAAACAGGTTATGTCCAAATATTCACAGTCGCATGGGACGAGGCTGCAGCGATCTTAATAATTAAAAGCGACAAAACCCTTTCCATATCCTATAGAAATCTCTGCATAAAGCAGTCCGATTCCGACTTTATCATAAGCATGTGATTATGAATCACTATGAAATAGTGATGATACCAGGTGTTCGCAAAAAGGTGAGCATATTCTACCCGTGGCACCCATCAGAGGCATGTCGATTGTTGAAAATGTTAACAGAATACGGAGCCACAGGGTACAAATCAAAATAGGGACGTATTTTTTGTCACAAATGAGTCAAATTTGGAAATGTCCTCCATGTGTCTACCATAAAACGTTTTGAAAGCTCCACTGAGCCCATTGATGTTGTAATCTTGATCGAACAGCTTTTGAGTCCTATGACACTCTTTCATCTCTTGATGGGAAGAGCCTTCTCGATTGTATGTCAAAAGTTGTGAAATGTTGGCACCAAAGCCTGCGGTTGCTGGAATATTTCACGTCATAGGAAAGTTAACTATTGGAAAGTTAAAGTCATCACTCTTCAGAAAAACAGTCTTGTGGAGAGTTTTATTAAATCCGCTCCAGGAAATACTTTTGAAAGTGTCATATGAAGATACTATCCCTATATGCTAGGTGTTGGAAGATATGAAGAATGGATGTCCGATGCCCTAACTATCCAACGTTCACCTGAAGCTGAGGTGAGGTCAAGATTATGGCACTCATTTTGCAATGTGCTATGCCACTGAGATACCTCAGTTAAACAAAGATATCCCAGACATGGTACATTGACTCCGAACCGACTAGTCCTAATTGTTTTATCCCCCAAAATGGTTACAAGTGTGCGATTTTTTTCACGTACTTTGGTTCAACGCGGACAGAGAACCGAAACCTCAACCTTTCGGTCTCCGGGCAGATGATAAGTAGACAACGGAGACGGTCGACATAGTGGTAAGTTCTATGAAGCCTTCAGTAGTATGGTCAACTAATATATCTGGTTGTGAATTAGACTGGTTCTTGAAGCGTGCAAGGCAAAGACATTTTATTCTCATAACAGGTACAATGTCTGTCCTCATTTCTGGCGTCCGACGCAATATGGTTAAAATATTGCTAATGTCGGCGTGGCACCCTTTTCACTCACTCAGTCATCTGATCACATTCCTGGTTGTTCTGGTTCCAGGTATATTGGCATACATTTCCTGAGAGGCCGTTCATACTGATTAGTAACTTCGTCCTCGTTGATCGTTTCATAAGTAGAATCTCTGTCACAAAGTTTGGCCACCTGAACGCGGAGTCTGAAAAGAAGCAAGTTGCAATCAGACACATTTCCTCACTGGCCATATACACGTACCTGGTCGGTTGCATCAACAGAAGTTTACGGCAGAACGTGTCCAACTATTACTTTGAGTATACTCGATATATATTTTGGGATGTGTTAAGTTTGTTTCAGCTGTAACGTTTATCCATGTCCACGTCGCTTACAAAGCTTTATTGTGCACGATCTTGCATCATAAGCAATATCTGAACTGCATCATATGGATCAAAATCTCGCTTACAGTTAATAAAAGTCTATTGTTATTATCAACAGAGTATTACTAACCTATATTCGTCTTTTCCTGAAAGTAGGAAACAATACAGTTTGTCACTAATTTGATTTCCTGACAATATCAATCTCAATATATAGCAATGTAATCACCCCGACCTACACACACCAAAGATTGTCATTGATTACGTAGTATCCTGAACAAATCACCACACAGAAATGTATCTAGGAGCATTGCCCTTACACTTGTAGACAACATTAGTCAGTTTTACATTATCATTATCGCATTGTACATTTTTATAGCTAAAATAGATGGAATTATCATTAAACCGCCCGCATGTTTTTAGAAATGAATGGGCCACTGTAACATGATAATGCCCTCATATTGCTTGACGACGGACCATTATCATGCCCGTTGTTAGATGACGTCATAGGATAGGTATAGGTAGGTGACGTTCAATAGTGACGTCATCTGGTTTGTTTTATGACGTTTCCATATTTGTAAAAGTGGGTCAGTGACATTCATGTTGATTGCGGTAAATGTTTCAAAACCCGTATTGTTGTTTATTTTTATTTGATAACAAATTCCATCCATTTTAGCTATAATAACGGTAACGCTATTTTTCAGGGCATTAGCATTTGCAGAAGCCTCCTTCGTCGGGCAGTTGATGGAAGACCTCGTGCTTCTGCAAATGAAAATGCCATGAAAAATAGCGTGACCCTGATAGTATTGTAATGCAGTCAATGTAAGACTGTGTAATTACGAAACAATGATTATATATAGTACACTAGCGTTGTTCCGTTTTATTATCACAGTTGTAGGGCGGGTCGATTGAGGTGTTTTTGAGTGAGATAATTTTATTTATATAAGGATTAATACAACATATTTACCTTTTCGGAGACAGTAACCGTTGATGCAAATAGCTGCAGAAGATAGTACAAGGAGGGCGAGGAAGGTACCAGAAGTAACGGCGATTATTGTATATAGAGCTGGCACACCTGGGCCAAGTACAGCAACATCAGGAGCGTTATGTTTGCAAAACAAAAACTAGAGTTCTAGTTAATTCATTATTGCAGTTACCTAGGGACTGCGTGTGCCCCACAAAGATATATACAGAGATCCGTCTTATTCGGGACTCTGTTAATCTTGAAACACCTTCCGGAGGACTATTGCTTTGAACGTCTAAATACAAGGAACAGTACTCGGTAGCAATGATACAAACGATTTAATTTGCAACGGCGCTGCCCGGATAACAACCTTACGCTGTATGTGCAATACTTGTTGCTAGATTTGATAACAATTAAAACCTTTCTCCATAACACCAACACTTTATCACAGTTCCAAGGCATTGTGCTCTAACTTGGCGGACAACGCTTTAATTTCTGCGTTCCAGAGATACCCCAAATGATGGATCAAAGATTCAGAGAGTTGATGACGCATGAATTGATCATGTTGTATTGTTAACTTTGTATTCTTACTACATTGTAAACAGGTGCGCTCCTTATTGTATGTGTAGGGGCGGTCGGGAAGCCTAGTGGTTAAAGCGTTCGCTCGTCACGCGAAGACCCGGGCTTGATTCCCGACATGGGTACAATGTGTGAAGCCCATTTCTGGTGCCCCCCGCCGTGATATTGCTGGAATATTGCTAAAAGCGGCGTACAATCAAACTCATTCACTCACCATTGTATGTCTAGGCATACTAGCTTCACACATAACAAGAGTTATCTACCTTGGACTAAAGAAATGATAACAGTTAAATGTGAGGATTGCTGTCATTGTAAACCACGGGGTTGTACCTTATGGAAATTTTATGTCATTGGGTCAGGGCGACCCCGTTTACATCCTGTTATCAGACAAAATATATCTAATACAGTTTGTGAACTTTTCAAACGGTTCCATTTTAGCGAAGGCCAGAGACTCACAATTCAAGAGAAGCAATAAGCTTACCAGGGACCTGGTTTGGTGACGTCACATCGCTCTGCACTGCAGATACAGTTGTCTCATGTAGTCCTGCTAGATATAAGTGTAACAATGATTGATCCAAATAACCCCTTTAACACATAGAGTCCACAAAAAGACACAACGCCAACTGGATATTCGAGTAAACTGCACACATACAGATTTAGTCGACATGTTCTGCCCATCCCTTCGAATGGGACAACTCTTATAGCATGTTATTAAGTTCCTTTGAAAAGACATGACTCCACGCTACACCTGTATAGAAACATACAGGTACAGAGTACATAGCCAATTAACACGAAAACAAAGCTTATAAAAGGTACCCTTTCTCTTCATTGTAGATCAGATCACTCGGATTGAGGTACTTGCAGCCTTATTTCCTAACATATTGATCATGAGTGCTTGGTAGCTTCATACAACGCACATATACACTTTCACAAGCTTTGTTTGGTTTGCTTGTTCGTTGTTTAACGCCGCACTCAGCAATATTCCAGCTTCGTGACGGCGGTCTGTTAATAATCGAGTCTGGGCAAGATAATCCAGTGATTGATAACATGAGCATCGATCCACACAATCAAGATCCATGGCATGCATCAACCAAGTCAGCGAGCCTGGCAACTCGATCCCGTTTGTCGCCTCTTACGACAAGCATAGTCGCCTTTTATGGCAAGCATGGGTTGCTAAAGACCTATTCTACCTAAATCTTCAAGGGTCCACAAGCTTTGTAAAAATACATGATATGGTTTTAATGTTTTGAGGAATGTGAATGAGTGATTTGCTTTAACGCCGCTTTTAACAGTATTCCAGTTATGTCACGGCATGTCAGCTTAATGTGGGGGGAAAGCCCGAAGTAATGCAGGTCTCAGACGTTTACCACTTTGGTCAAACCCACGAGTAAAGTAATTAAAACAGAAATAGAAAATCTAGATTTACTTACTTTGGAGCGCGTCTGTCGTCACCTCATTATTGTCCAGTGCTGGTAAATTTGTCCGGTTAGGTCTGATTTCAACTGTGGATACAAAGAAAACTCTCTCTCAAAAATGTTTTATCAAACAAACGCCCCAAACATCAACTTTTGTTTTGTCTATTTCGCCTTCAGTGTCCCCGCTGTATTCCGCGATTCCGCTGTCGCGGAATACTTTCAGAATTATACCCTTGGTGGAGAAGTGTACCTAACTTGTAGAAAGTCACTGATTGTACAGACATGATTCAGAATTGTCTGTCGCGGATCGTAAACTTCACTGCAGCATGTTTACAATGTGAATCGGAAGCTGGGCCCACTTGCACAAAGCGATCTTAGCGCTACGACTATTGTAAGCCTATGTTAAAGCATGGGAGTTACAATCATTTTAGCGCTAAGATCGCTTTGTGCAAGTGGGTCCTGGTCCTCAATATATAAAAGTTGCAATTCAACATGTGAATTTATTGTTTTTGTATTTCTGTGATAATAGAACAATTTCAAATAATTATTTGAAGTAAAAAGATTCTTCTACGTTAAATTCCTTTCTGTGGGTTAGTGAGTGAGTTATTAACGCCGCTTTTAACAATATTCCAGTCATATCATGGCGTGTCAGCTTAATGTTGGCGGAAAGCCCCAAGGTCTTAGACGTTTACCACTTCCTGCTCACGTGATTGGATGCACTTTGCGATATAGATCCTGATTTCAGATCAGATTTAGGAGGAACATAGGAGGGACACAACTTGCAGTAGCCTCTCGTGGCGCTACGATCAAGCCCAGACATTTCAGCCCAGTTTGGCAAGGTTGATTGATTGTTTGTTGTTTAACGCCGCACTCAGCAATATTCCAGCTATATGACGGCAGTCTGTAAATAATCGAGTCTGGACCGGACAACCCACCGATTGACATCATGGATCCACGCAGTTGGGATACGATGACATGCATCAACCAAGTCAGCGAGTCTGACCACCGGATCCTGTTAGTCGCCTCTTACCACAAGCAAGAGTTGGTGAAGACCTGTTCTACCCCGGATCTTCAAGGGTCCGGCAAGGGTGCAAACTGGACATTTACAGTAAGTTAACTCCCACCATGGTGAACACACCAGATATTGATCTGCACGCTGAAATTTACGGACATATATCGTCCTTACACCTTCACTATCAGTTCCCTTATTTTTTTCAGTAGTATAGAGCTTTGCTGTGCAGTCGTGTCATCAAGGTCAATACGCACTGCGGAAACATTTAACTGTTTTAGTTCCTGCAGAAACTGTAAATCCGAAAAAATAGATAAATCGAGACTGAAAGTAACGTTGATATCACGTATGAACTACAATAAAATATATGTTCATATTCCTGGTCAAACACATCATTTTGTAAATACTTTAGAGGAAAGGCCTCGTCATACTTCCTGTATTTGCATGGTTCAAAATATATCACGACTGTCTGTCGATAATTGAATCTGGACTAGACAAACCAGGGGTAGATATTATAAGCAAGCCTCATGCCTTCTGGTTACGATGGACACGCAAGCAATTAAGTCTCCCTGACAGCTAACCAAATGTAGCCGCTACTCACTAAGACAAGAAAGGAGCTGTAGACCTTACACGCAGCAAAGAGCTATCATTCATATAGACTAACCTGAGACAGAAGTTGTTGCTTCATCGGGATCTGGGGAAAAGAGATGTAAAAACATGGATAAGTCGACAAACTGAGAAAAGGTGTGATATGATAATATATATGGACGTGTTTACTTGTCCGTTAGTTATTTCAACAATTCTCTATCTGCATGGCTTTAAACGTGACTTACTCAAATCAAAATAGACTAAACGAGGCAAAAAGTGAGGAGGGATCACTAAAACCCAAACTTCGACTCCAACATATTTTTTACGTTCAAAGCATGAAAAAAAGCAATATTTTTCAGAAAATCAAACTTTGTACTGCACCTCTCCGATTGGTACAGAAACTGTACCCCCATTTGGAAAAGAATCAGTTTAATAGTTTTCAAGCTCACGGTCCCACTATTGTTGATGTAAAAAAGATCTAAGGTAACAACATGAAAAACATCCTATTTTTTTCTAGAAAATACATATGACACAATAACACTGTGCACATATCTTATTAGTATGGAAACTGTTCCCTAAATTTCAAAAGAATCCATGAAGTAGCTTTTTAGTAATTGTTCGCACAAATGTTTATGTTAAAAAATTAAACAAAATGGATTTTTTTCAGAAAATCCAAATATTAAAATCAAACATAGCACTACACCTCTCCTTTTGGCATAAAACGTGTTTACCAAGTTTGAAAAGAATCTATGTCGTAGTTTTCAAGGTCAAGGTCAAGGTTTTTTAGGTCGCATACAAAATGTCCTCAGAAGGACGAACGGACGAACGGAATTCCTTGATATTACTAATACCCCCGCCTTTGTAGGTCGGGGGTATAATAATGTTATATGGAATATGCCTGACCACATGTTCATAGCACTTCAGAGGGGACTATATGCTCGTATAGGAATCCAATATGAAGTCATCGACTGTTAAATTTATATTTAAAATGGATACAGAACTGATACCTACTCACATTTTACAATCAAAGTGACCTCATGAGAACTGGACGCGACATTGTTCTTTCCAGTACATCGATATGTTCCCGTATCCCCCTCAGAAACGTTCTTGATTGTTACGGAGGTATGTGATAGTTTCACACGAGCAGTGTTTGTGACCTGATTGATATCACGGTACCAGGTGACAACTGGAACGGGCCTATAAAACAATAGCATTAACATCATATTAAACTGATTTTAACACTCTATATATTTATGGCATTTGTTTTCCGAAATACAATATCAATAGACAGACTGGCAACCTAATATTGTCACATGAACAAATTTTATACATGGGGGTACAGTTGTAACTGTGTTATTCTTGTGGTCTGTGCAGTATAAGCATAAGGCGCCGGGATTCGCTGTGCAGAGTTGCGTCCCTTCGGCACGCCAGAAACCTATGGTTGTGGGTTCGAATCCCGGTTCGCCCCGATTATGTTTCTAGGTTTGTCAGCACCATACCCGTGCTCGTGGGTTTCACCGAAGTGGTAAACGTCTGAGACCTGCATCACTTCGGGCTTTCCTCTCACATTAAGCTGACACGCCGCGATATAACTGGAATACTGTTAAAAGCGGCGTTAAACACAACTCACTCACTCACTCGATTTCAGTAATGGTGGCATTAATAATGTGCACCTGCCGCTGAAGATGCACTGCAGTGATACATCCTGTCCCAGTGTGGCGTGGGTTGTTTCACTTGAACACAGGAGTGTAGGCCACGTGTCTGCAATGTTACCTGGAATAAATACCATCATGAACACAAGTATGTTTGTTGTTTAACGCCGCACACAGCAATATGACGGCGAGTCTCGACCAGGCAATAGAGTGATTCACATCATGATGACCGATCTGCGCAATTGCAAAACGGTAACATGCATCAACCAAGTCAGCGAGCCTGACCACCCGATCCCGTTTGTCGTCTCTTACGACAAGCATAGTCGCCTTTTACGCCTATTATACCCCGGAATCTTCACGGGTCTCACGCCGAAGACCCGGGTTCGATTCCCCATATAGGTACAATGTTCAAAGCCCATTTCTAGTGCTCCCAGCATTGAAATATGACAGGAATATTGCAAAACCACACTCATTCAAAATATATGATGTGTTTACATTCTGCTGAGACATTGTTTGGATTGTATTTAGAACAGAAACTCATTGATACGGACTATGTACCTTTTGTGACGTACAACTGGACTGGACTACCGAGCTCGATAGTAGAGAAACCAGAAACGCTGCATTTATATACTGCAGTATCCAGGATATTCACATGAGCAAAGTGAAGTGTTCCTGGAAAATTCAGAAAGTATTATACCATTCGTGTTAGAGGACGTTGGATGAGCTTAAACAAAGTGAGCATTTGCAGTTTGCAGTCGCTTGTGGCAATTCTGTGACAGAGGTAGTTGTATATACCTTGTCAAGATGTCATTGATACATGCGGGCATTCATCGTACTCTTAAGCTGATATGATTGTTTGTTTGTTTGTTTGTTGTTTAACACCGCACTCAGCAATATTCCAGATGTATGACGGCGGTGTGTAAATAATCGAGCCTGGACCAGACAATCCCGTGACTGACATCATGAGCATCGATCGCGCAAAATTGAGATACGATGACATGCATCAACTAAGTCAACCACCCGAACCCGGTAGTCGCCATTTACGACAAGCATAGTCGCCTTTTACGGCAAGTATGGGTTGCTGAAGACCTATTCTATCCCGGATCTTCACGGGTCTAAGCTGACATGAAAGTTCGGTGATGATTACCTCTAGTGGATATTTGTATCCTTGGGTCGACATTGACTTGAAAAAGTTTGCCTTCAGGGCCAGCAATTTTAAACCATTTGACTTTGCCTGGAGGAGGTGTGCGGCAAGTCAGTGATACTGGCTGTCCGTCAGTTGCATTCTTTGTCATCAACGGAGCTCGTTCTTTCCAGGAATGCGAGTTGGCTGAGACATAGTCATGAATAAAATTTTATAAAAGAAGATAAACTGGAACGCTACACCTGAAACGAAACATTTTTGTTCCTGATACTTACTCAATTTTGTGAGTGAGTGTGTTTTAAGGCAGTTGTGGGCAGTTTTTTCATACCCAGTATGTCAAAAAAGTAAAAAGACATGTTAATTTATCACAGAGCAATGCTATTATCGCAGTCTCGTGTTATGATGAAATATATCAATCGAGAATAAAAGTTGTCACAGTATTAAACGAGAACTGAAACTTGGTTTAGTAATAGCCGTAAAACAGGGAACCAATTAGTTTCATATTTAAATGACACGAAACAATTTGTTCAAATAACATTTCCGTCATACCAGAATAGGTCATGTTTTTTCTGACCCTCTCCGTGGTCTAATGGTAGACCGTCGATCCCCGGCCGCGTCATACCAAACGACGTTAAAGATGGTACTTGTTGTTACCCTGTCTGGCGCTCGGCATTAAGGGGCTAAAACAAGCACTGGTCGGCTCGGAGTCAGTATACTGTGTCTGAGTGGGGTATTCGTGTTAAACTGCGGCATGGTATCTCAGTGGGCTAGCACTATAAATCGGCATCAGTCCGGACTAGTACAAGCAGCCACACACACACATACACGTGTATGCACGTCGCTATGTAAGTGCAATAATCTTGGACACGACGTTAAACCCCATTTCAGCTCACCTCACCTCATGTTTTTTTCTCCTTAATTGAAGCAGGAAATGAACAAAACACGTCCCATTTTAATTCTGGAAACCCAAAAGTCCAGAAACTCTACGCTCTTTGCCCAGTCTCGGTTAAAGGTATTTACAAAATTAAACATGCCGTTTTCATGGGAACATACCAAGGAAGAAAAAATGAAAAAAAAATTGTTTAAAAACTCAATATTTAGACTATGTCGCCCATGGGCCTGCCCATGGGCGAAGTGTGGCCCATGGGTAGGCCCATGGGCGAGAATATGTTCCTTTACTTAAAACTCATGATTTTGTTTCGCAAATACATTTAATGTATTCATTCAAGTATCATGACACAAAATTTAACTCATTTTAACTTAATTCAACGATTTTATAGCGATATTGAAATATTTCGCCCATGGGCGAGAAAAAGGTTTGGCCCATGGGCAGGCCCATTGGCGAGAATATGTTCCTTTACTTAAAACTCATGATTTTGTTTCGCAAATACATTAAATGTATTTATTGAAGTATCATGACACAAAATTTAACTCATTTTAACTTAATTCAACGATTTTATAGCAATACTGAAATATTTCGCCCATGGGCGAGAAAAAGGTTTGGCCCATGGGCGAGAATATGTTCCTTTACTAAAAACTCATGTTTTTGTTTCGCAAATACATTTAATGTATTCATTCAAGTACCATGACACAAAATTTAACTCATTTTAACTTAATTCAACGATTTTATAGCGATATTGAAATATTTCGCCCATGGGCGAGAAAAAGGTTTGGCCCATGGGCGAGAACATGTTCCTTTACTCAAAACTCATGTTTTTGTTTCGCAAATACATTAAATGTATTTATTCAAGTATCATGACACAAAATTTAACTAATTTTTACTTAATTCAACTATTTTACGGCGTTATTAAAATATTTCGCCCATGTTTTCGTCAGTCCCTTTCAAGCATCAACTAACTGTTTGCAAAGTATATTGTATCATGTGAAATATACTTTATATTATATCATTACATTACTATTTAAAAAGGGCATTTGGTTGGATGTTTCCTTTAGTTCTACAAATTTCACCTGTTTTACATATTGTAGCGATCTTTAATGAACCCGGCCTTACCTCTCAAAACGTTTTGACAGTTTATCATACGAAGTCATGTGCGTGTACTCCAATTCATTGGAGTTATTTTCCACAACATTAAATTTTAGTTAGTTTCTATTTCATTTCCCATTTTATGTCCCGTTGATACATCACACTGGGCAATTACGTGACACTAGGTATGCAATATACAGGTACGCGTGCGCGTATTTTAATGAAAAAAACTATTCGTCTTTTATTGCATAACGTTTGGCTGAATATCTTACATTCTAACGAAATCTCGAAATAATTATTTAATTACATGCGGTTTCGAACTTACCAGTGGGAATTATGTTTCAATGCGATTGAGGAAAACGTGAGTGAATATTGTGACACTAAAGCAACTTTTAACTGCATTGTCACTTTTGGTATGAAAATGGTAACAGTTCAGAAAAAACAACAGCCTTCTTATGATAATTCTCATTAGTACGTTGTATCTTATTACAGTGTCGGCCTTATTTACAGGTGATTCTACAATACCTGCTCTCGGTCAGTTACGATCTACCACACCACGCGTGAATAAACAGTTATGCAGGTGTTGCTGTGGGCAAATACCTAGCCTGAAAATCTTTATTTTTTTTAGGATACATGTTTTACAAATGTTCGTTGATATGTGGATATATTAAGCACAAAGACAAAAAAATGTTTATGAAAGATGAATTAGTGCCTTGATATATTCATCGAGATGTGTATCATCGTTTAGTTGGTCATTCAATAAACGTATGTTTGGAGGAGATATCAAAGGAGCCGCTCAATATACACAGTGTCGTCCGGTGAACTACCACCCCACCCTGTCCATTAGAGTTATGTTATCGGTACACAAATATATTTGATGCGGTGTCAGTGCGGAAGGAGTTTGAATTACGTCCGCCACTTGCCACAGAAATCCTCAAAGTATAGAAACAATAAACAAGGTCAATCCGTACTAATTACCTAGTGACGCACGTAACAGCGACTGTCAATAGGGAAATGGGTGAAAACAAATTGAAATAGATTTTAATAAAACATTATTGTACTAAATAACTCGCAAAAGCGCTGCCTAAAATTGTTTGACCGTGTTATGTGTGTTGTAAACTGACGAATAGCAAGTAATTGTCATGCTGTACGCATGGTTCCATATACAAATTCAGTTATACAAACGGTATGAAACTGAGAACTGAGATACCAAGTACAACCTGCATTCACACACGGAAGCAATATACTTGTGTGTATGCCCTCTCCTCTAAAAGATGTATCACTAAAGTATTTGCATTGTAATAAATATAGTAATGATAAAACTTGGTAATTTGGTAGGTCTCCGACAGATATGATTTTCAGTTTTTTTACACCTTTGATTGATACGGATTACGTACCTGTAGTCTAGTCACTGTCTCTAATGTATCTGCTTGTTAGAAATTTCAAATGTCTTGTTATAGCACTGTTCCTAAAATACGGCAGTTTCTTTTATCGGGTATAAATAGTTGATTCGTCTTGTCACGCAGTCATTTTTACTTGTTCGAATGATTTCCACAAAAAATTACGGCAGAGGGTTTTGTATTTTATTATATTTTTAGAAGATTTTAGAAGATGCTTAAATCACTGTATCTCAGAACGTAAAACTGATAACATTCAAACATGTAATTAGTACACAGTTAATTGTTACATATAATTTCCTGCATATTCCTTTTTGAACAAAAAGCCTACATGTATACTGATATCGGTGTCCACTGTTAAAAGGGTATTAGTGCAGTCAGCCATGGTAAATGGAGAGACAATAATAAGGTGATTAATTATAGTCTGTTGCAGAATATGCGGTATAAGTGTAGTCATTGATACATATACACATTACACATGTACAGATGAAATACACGATATGATGCAGTGCAAGAACAAATTAAGATACGGTTTCTATTAAAAATAATTATACGATTTTGGATTTAATTAGCATGTTTAAATTTTCAGGCCAACACGGCTGAGATACAGCATCGGCATACTCAACTGGAGTTGTTTTCTGCCGGTCGTAAGTTCATTGTTTGACTGAGCACACTCGTGTCGGGGTTGCGATATTTTCTTCTCTTTGTTGGCAGCCTGCCACCGGTCTGAATTTTGAGAAAGGTCTCAGCATGGGACTGTTAATTACTTCTTAATGATGTCTACAAGCTTACAAACTTGTAGATGTTGGGTGCGGTTAGGACCAAACTTTTTCAGCTCAGAGTGTTAGTGGTCCTGGAACCCATAGTGTCAAACAGGTTCTGCACAAAACGTCCATCAGATTCTACTGTTCAGCAACATTGTCACTGAATTTCAGAACTCTGGCATGATATAATAATCAAGGATTTCGAAGGCAAAACCTTTTCTCGCCCATGGGCGAAATATTTCAATAAATCTGTAAAATAGCTGAATTGAGTAAAATTGAGTTACATTATGTGCCATGAAAATAGTAAGAACACCTGCATGTATTTGCGAAACAAAAAACATAAGTTTTAAGTAAAGGAAAATATTCTCGCCCATGGGCCAAACCTTTTTCTCGCCCATGGGCGAAATATTTCAATATCGCTATAAAATCGTTGAATTAAGTTAAAATGAGTTAAATTTTGTGTCATGATACTTAAATAAATACATTTAATGTATTTGTGAAACAAAAACATGAGTTTTGAGTAAAGGGACATATTCTCGCCCATGGGCCTGCCCATGGGCCAAACCTTTTTCTCGCCCATGGGCGAAATATTTCAATATCGCTATAAAATCGTTGAATTAAGTTAAAATGAGTTAAATTTTGTGTCATGATACTTCTTTCAATACATTTAATGCATTTGCGAAACAAAATCATGAGTTTTAAGTACAGGAGCATATTCTCGCCCATGGGCCAAACCTTTTTCTCGCCCATGGGCGAAATATTTCAATATCGCTATAAAATCGTTGAATTAAGTTAAAATGAGTTAAATTGTGTGTCATGATACTTGAATGAATACATTAAATGTATTTGCGAAACAAAAACATGAGTTTTAAGTAAAGGAACATATTCTCGCCCATGGGCCTGCCCATGGGCCTACCCATGGGCCACACTTCGCCCATGGGCAGGCCCATGGGCGACATAGTCTAAATATTGAGTTTTTAAACAATTTCTTTTTCATATTTTCTTCCTTGGTATGTTCCCATGAAAACGGCATGTTTAATTTTGTAAATACCTTTAACCGAGACTGGGCAAAGAGCGTAGAGTTTCTGGACTTTTGGGTTTCCAGAATTAAAATGGGACGTGTTACAAGCATTCTCAATTTTATCAGCCATCCAATTTCCGTGTCCCATGATGAGATTTTGACGCCTTGTTTATTTGACCCTAGAAGTTAACCCAACCATCAAGCTAACACAGTCAGGATGTCATCTGCAGGATGACTTAACACCCAGCAAGATAAACATAAACCCTCGGGCAATGACAAAGTATCCATTGAACATTTCAAGACCTTCGTTACAGCAACAAATTTGCTTAATTTTTTTGTTTTGAACATATTATATTAATTGACATTAAAAGGTCAAATGGAAAAGGCAAAAGTTATCCAACTTACAACGCCCTTTGCATAAACATTTATACAGACAGCGGATAGTGTAAATATTAAAACTTAAGCATATCTAGGGTTGCCAAACTAGTCTAGGTGCCAACAATGAAATAATTATGTCATATCCGTATACAGAGCTAAAAGGTGTAGGCAAACATGCTGTTAGTATGGATAACATATGTTAATTAATATTAGTACTTACCCACAGTGTCATAGGCCGCCGTCATCACCAGTATCGCCAAAGGGATTTTCAGCATGTTTTTGTTGTATACTACGTGTACAAACGAACTAAGAGCAGAATTTACTTTGTTTACTTTAATCTTTCTTTGTTTGTTTGTTTGTTGTTTAAAGCCTCACTCAGCAATATTCCAGCTATATGACGGCGGCCTGTAAATAATCAAGTCTGGACCAGACAATCCAGTGATTAATATCATGAGCATCGATCCAAACAATCGGGATCGATTACATGCATCAACAAAGTCAGCGAGTCTGACCACCCGATCCCGTTAGTCGCCTTTTACGACAAGCAAAGTCGCCTTTTAGGGCAAGCATGGGTTGCTGAAGACCTATTCTACCCCGAATCTTCACGGTTCTCTTTGATCTTTGAATCCTATTGAAAAATGTTATTATCGTAGCTGTTAAGAATGTTTGTTCGAAACAGCATTTTGATCAGCAGCTTTAGCAATTACTGGCGCTGATAAGATCAACATTTTACAAAACACAATGAAGGATAAGAAAACGGATTCTTGAATGGTCCGGTTTGTGTATTTTAGTGCTTACCTACTGACACCACCAGGGCTACTAAAACGATGCACAATAATGAAAGCCTTGAACCAAGGCTTACTTCCCTCTCATCTCAAACGAACCATCCACCCACGGCAGATGCACATTCAGGGTAGCTACAAAGACAAAGACAAAGACAAAGTTCTTCAACATTGGACTCAAGTGGTGAAAGTGTGTCTTTTGTGAATATTGGTGATTATATTTATATAATCTGTGTCTTAATTTTTGAAATCGTACCTAGCCATCCGCGCGTGTTATGCTGGATGTAACAAGAAATTTAACGTGGAATATATTGTCCACGACCCTTACCTCAATGGCCACGGAATATGATGTGTCACATTAATGTTTTCAGCGTTCAGAAGTGAGGGAAGTAATAAACAACATGGCCTGTGCTGAAGGAATGTTGTCGGAAATGAAACCGGTGCACTTTACAACCCGTGACGACAACATATTGAAACATCCTTGAAGATCCGGGTTATAGTCGATCTTCAGCAACCCATGGTCGTCGTAAGCCGCCATTAACGCGATCAGGCTCGGTGACTTGGTTGATGCATGTCCTCGAATCCCAATTGCGCAGAATACCCATGATGTCAATCACTGGATTGTCTGGTCCAGATTCATATAGTCATATAGCTGGAATATTGCTGAGTGTGATGTTTAACAATTAAAACAGATTGTAAGTTGAATGTACACCTGATGGAGGATAGATTCAATGATAGAAAGATATGTTACTAAATTTGCTACGGCATTACATATTGTGCTGAGATATGAATAATGTGGAATTGTATATTTACAGTCAAGGATATATGTGAATATCTAATCATCACAACAGACCAACAAATAGTTGTTTTCAAAAGAAAGCTTCCATGAGCAGGCATATTCTGTTGATGTCAGTGGATTATTAATCTCTTGTATAGCAAGACATCACAGGGAGGTGTCTAACTTAGCCATCAATGTGAACTGCATATAGTGGCTTCTATTGCTACTGACATGGTTACATTAGATTATTCATCGTGTTTAACCAAATGACGGATGTATTCTAAAATCGAACAAGTTAGATGCGTTTTGGATTCCACAAGTAAGATTGGTATGTTACAAGAAACTGGGGATTCAATTACACCCCTGTCACTTAAAGTAAGTACATTAATGGACCATCTGTGTCACTTGCCTAATGTCACAACGTCATAATGTCACAACGTAATAATGTCATACCTTCGTGAGTGATCATCGTTACTACCAGTGTGAACACATTACAGGAATGTTGCAATTTGTCAGCAAGCCCTATATGACATTACATGGTCTCACAATAGCCTTTGGCCTTACGACGTCACCACGTCAGCTGACATGATCGTTAACCCTCCCTGTTGTCCCTACTAAGTTCTCTGTCCCTAAAGGTGTCATGCAGTCTCCGTGTGCCCTATTCTGGTTTGCTGCCCTACATATAGTGACACGCATACTTTGAATATTGTAGGAATCGCAACTTTGCATTGTAACGTTGCACTGAATGAATAAAAATGCCTATCGACAATACTCTTGTCAATATTCGCCAGCGACTAAAGCGGTGGGTGTGAATCCTGCAGGTAGCAGACGTACTGTAAGTCCCCATGGCCCCCTGGTCCTCACATTGGTTGTTGGTGATCCATGGCCAGCGCATTTATGTCTAAAATCAAGAGCTCGCATTATTTTCATGTCGCATTAAATTCCTGTTTTACAGTATTCCCTACAGTTGCCATTTGAAGGCTCACACGCAGTATATCTCGTCAAGTGAAGGAATGTTCACAAATGAAACAAATCGTGGCCGTATTACGTACTACTGATCCAAAAACGTAAACTTAGCAATTTCCCATCTTACCTCGATCGTCCTTCAAGATAGTTGGCGGTCATAACATCTACTGTCACATTTCACTACTGGTTGAAATGTGTTCCAAAATTCGATCCTTATTACCACACTACTATTACCAGAAGCTAATTTCTCATACAATTCTGGAAATAATGAGATATTCCGAGTACCCCTACTTTTTTAAGAGTATGAGTTAACCAAATTTGGACACATTTATTTATATATCAATGTGTCATTTAACAACATTTATTGTATGATAGATAATACATTAACACTTATAGATGTATGTCATCGGATGATGATTGTGCATTTGTCATTAAGTCACACCAAGGCAAAATAGACAATTGTAGTATTATGGTCGGTCAAAGACTGAAATGTAGGGTACTTTTAAAGAGTATAATATAGTTTTTGTATGCAAAGGTGCATAACAGATATTTATATGAGTCAGCAAGTCAATGTCGCTTTTTTACAGAATACAAAATCTTTGTCATAGGCATCTCACTGTAAATGTTTGATTGTGCAGAATTTTTAACAGAATTTCGTGAGAAATATTCACTGATATATGGCCTACAATTATACGAAAGGAATGCGCTAATATATGTGCTGGCATCTTCCCGAGGCAAGGGAGTTAACTGACTTAAAAGTCATGTGGAAACGTTTATAGTCAGTTAACTCCCTTGCCTCGGGAAGATATTGTTTTTTTGTATCTTGTTTAACGTCGCACTCAGAAATATTCCAGCTATATGACGGCGGTCTGTAAATAATAGAGTTTTGACCATATTGAAATCATGTGCATCGATCAACACAATTGGGATATGCTGACATGCATCAACCGAGTCTGACCACCCGATCCCGCTAGGCGCCTCTTACGACAAGCATGGATTGCTGAAGTCCTTTTCTATCCCGGATCGTCACGGGTCTATATGCACACATGCTCATGATATGGTCGGAATTCAAGATTTCTTATGGAAATGGTTTTGTCGCTTTTATATATTAATAATCTTGCGGCCGATATTCTACAAGACTATGCATTTTAACTTTATTACTGCTTGTGTATGTCACAATACACAATCCCCATGCACATGTACAACCTGTGCTTTTGATACGGCGTTATGCTGACGTGATCATGGCGTAAATCCCGACCCACTCTCTCATTACGACCATGGTTACTCCGAACTGTCGTCCTAATTTATAATGATTCACAAAACTTGAATGTTCAGAGCTGCTCCGGTTTCGGTTTTAAACACGTTAACAGGGACCCGACAATGACAAATAATCTCCACCTCAATCAGGAAATATTGCAAGGTGACGCTCAGGGTCGCCAGGTTTCATATCGCATTGTAATCTGTGTATGTGCTTTATGATCTTAGAATGAATTGTAATTATTATCCTTGGCTTTGTTGTTATGTGTTTGGGCATGTCGTTTTGTTTTGTTTTGTTTGTTGTTTAACGCCGCACTCAGAAACATTCCAGGTATATGACGGCGGTCTGTAAATAATCGAATCTGGACCAGACAATCCAGTGATTGACATCATGAGCATCGATCAACGCAATAGGGATACGTTGACATGACCACCCGATCCCGTTAGTCGCCTCTTACGACAAGCATAGTCGCCTTTGAAGGCAAGCATGGGTTACTGAAAGCCTATTCTACCCCGGGTCTTCACGGACATGTCGTATGCAACTTCATTTGTCAAATGACACATGCCTAGATATGTTCAGACCATTTACAACTGACCGCCGATAACATTTTTGTTTAGCTTGTTACATGATTATAACTTATGAAAGGTTGATAAATATCAATACTAATATTTATGACAATTTCGAAAATGACATTTGAACGTCCACAACCTGCATGTACTTTACTTAACACGTTTAGTGCATGTCTAGCTAAATAGTTTCTAACCATTCTGCGGTGTGTTTATCCAAACATCATTGTTAAACATCATTCGACTTCTACACGAAGTATTTCCTGTTAACGTGTGTGGGTGAGTATGGTTTTAGGCCGCTTTAAGCAACATTCCAACAATGTCACGGTGGGTCACCACAAATGAACTTCACACATTTTACCCATGAGGGGAAATCGAACCCGGGCCTTCGGCGTGACGAGCGAACACTTTAACCACTGGGCTACCCAACCGCCCCTGTTTACGTGTGACACAGCAAATGATTTGCTATTAAAAAAATAGATAAAACAGTATGTGTTGACCTCATCGGCTGATTGGTTGATGGTATTGTGTTAGATCCGTGTACTTGATCTAACGTAATTCTGTTGGGCATACTGACAGTGTTATATCAGAATACGTTAACATATTGAAGATCCGGGGTCTTCAGCAACCCATCCTTGCCGTAAAAAGGCGACTGTGATTGTCGTAAAAGGCGACTAACGGGTTCGCTGCTGACTTGGTTGATGCATGTCATCGTTTCCCAATTGCGTGGATCGATGCACATGATGTCAATCACTGGATTATCTGGTCCAGACTCAATTATTTACAGACCGTCATATAGCTTGAATATTGCTGAATGCGGCGTTAAACAACAAACAAACAAGACATACTAAAAATCGTCAGACGTGGAAAGTTTCAAAGCACACTTTATTGATCCATATTTTATGAAGTATTTTAACCAATCCAAAGATAGCATTAAATGAGTCTTCGAAAACATTGTCAGTCTACTTAGTTGTTACATCAAGGATATATTAAAGTATATGTACACATGATAAAACAAACGGAGAAACAGCTGTAAACGTGCATGGATTTTACATTATATCTTTTTATGGATTTACGAAACCACGGAAAAACTGGTCCACATGTACAATCAATATTTGTTTTTGTTATGTCGAAATACTTCCCAGTCACAGTCGCCGAGGTGTTTTGTTGACACCGGTTATTTACGAAATCGAAAGTATAACATTCATGGTGTTATTGTGGTGGGCATTATAATTAGTTCATGTTGTGGACGCGTAGACATTGAAACGTTTATTATTTACTGAATACAAGATTTGGCCATGTGACAAAACAAAAATATATAATGACTAAAAAAGATTACATGGAGGTTTTCATTCAATTCTTTACAAAAAACGTCAAAGCACTACCTAGCACAATATATACAATGTTATTTTACAAGGAAACACGCCATCTGTCTGAATTACAACAGAAAAGGATTCCACGGAAGAAGGAACTCGAAGCTGAATTCATAGTACACAAATAATGCTTGAAGCTACGTGTGAAACATCAACATTTTAAGCGACGGGAAATAAAATGCGATGTTTTTTTCACACATATGGTAGCAATTACGTTTAATGAGAACACAAATTCAAAAAGATTCAGAGCCGGTTTTCCGTAAATGAAGAGCAACCTCTTCACGCAGACTACAAGGGTAGCACATCCACTTTGTTATTTACATTTCTAAATACGGCGAGCCAAATTGGTCGAGGTACCTCAAAAACAATTTCCAATTGTTGAATCTACGCTTCGTGAACCTGAAATCAAAGCAACGGTATCTGTAAAACATTTACTTAGTAAGCTATGAGAGAATAATTCCAATGAAATCATTTATATCATTGAATTTTCTGTCCCTTTTGACAGTGATGTGATTGACAAGATTGAAGAAAAACATGGCAAATATGCAGACCTCGCTTTCGAAATGTCACGCTTGCATCCCAAGTACCAAGTTGTCCGACTCCCCATTGTTCTCGGTGCCTTAGGTTTGGTACCTCCCAATCAGTTGAGTGACATTGGGAGAGCACCCGGGTATGCTACCAGGAATACAGCCCTTCTCACAATCTGGGTAATACAGAAGGCTGCAGTGCTTGGGAGTCTTCACATTCTCCGAAAAGTTCTGGGTGGGTTTGACTAGGCAGCGCTTCCTGGGAGAAGTCCCATTCGCTGTCTGGGCTGCGTGTAGAGGGGGCAAGGCCCTGAGCTGGTAATGAGCCTAATGTGCCAGGATCACCCAAACCCTCCTTGCCGCATTTAACCAGGCACTTTAACCACTTGGCTACCCGACCGCCCCTACAAATCTAGACATACACTAAGGGCGCATCTGGCATTCTAACACATAACCAGACGTCTCTGGCATGCCGAAGGAATGTAACTATGCACTGCTAATTGCGGCGTCTTAAACGACTGCCTTCCCCGTCCTCACCCGTTACTCCCGACATATTGGGTTTGATATTACATGACGCTCACCATATTAAAATACCAAAAAGGTGGCAGTCACAACGACGACGACGACACTTGTCGCAGCTTCCAGGCCACGACTGGACGACATAGCATCGGCCGCTGAAACATTAATAGTCACATCGTAATGTCACATTTACATCATCACAATAATATTCCTTCTTCAGAGATTGTTTATATTTCAAATGATGTACATGGTCATGAGACTGTGGCTTCATCAGTAATATGAAATTGTGTAACTTGGTAGAACATGAGAGGGCACGGGTGGCCCAGTCGTCTAAGGCGCCGCGATTCGATGTGCAGAGTTGCGCCCAATGGGCAAGCCAGAAACCTATGATTATGGGTTCGAATCCCGGTTATGTTTGTTATGTTTCTAGGTTTGTCAGCACCATACCCGTGCTCGTGCCTTTCACCGAAGTGGTAAACGTCTGAGACCTGCATCACTTCGGGCTTTCCTCCCACATTAAGCTGACACGCCGCGATATAACTGGAATACTGTTAAAAGCGGCGTTAAACCCAACTCACTCTCTCACTCACTGGTACAACATGAGGTTCAACTGCTATAAAGAGACTACGCTCGGGAATTATGAAACCAGAAACCAGTTTCCGTGAGACGTTTTAAAACTCGATTTTATTCATCATGTGTTTATGTAAATACATTTTTGGGGAAAGCACACATTTCCCCCGCGACTGCAAATAAAAACCTGCATAACAAAAGCCAAATCTCAATCTTGCCTGGAATCGGTTTCACTGTCACTGTATCAGTTGTCACTACAGCTTCCTGGTTTGTTTTCCGCTGACCTTTATAGAAACAAAAACAAATCCACGCATTAATAGTTTTTTTATGAAATACAAATCAAATGGTATATGAACTGATGCGTCATTCGAGGACGTTTAAGTTGAATAGAGCTATCGTCCTCTGAGAAAACAATATATACAATTTAGTATGGGATTGTTATGAAAGGTTTTCTGAATGCAACATGTCAAAGGCAACTCGATTTTTAAGAAAAAGCATACGTTACATTTCACGTGTTACAAGTTCCAAGAAAACATAGACATGGTTAAATAGCTTCCGCGAATATAAACCTACCTCTGGTTGTAGTTGTCACTTTATTTGTGGCACTATCTGCAGAATATACACGAGTGTAAAGTTCAGTCGCATTATTGATTGATTTTAGGTGAATTAGCGAGTATAGAATGTAATGTACAAAGGGGAGATCTTTTTCTATAGAGGGCGCGGGTGGCCCAGTCGTCTGAGGCGCCGCGATTCGCTTTGCAGAGCTGCGTCCCTTGGGCCAGAAACCTATGATTGTGGGTTCGAATCCCGGCTCGTCCCGATTATGTTTCTAGGTTTGTCAGCACCATACACGTGCTCGTGGGTTTCACCGAAGTGGTAAACGTCTGAGACCTGCATCGCTACGGGCTTTCCTCCCACATTAAGCTGACACACCGTGATATAACTGGAATACTGTTAAAAGCGGCGTTAAACCCAACTCACTTAATCACTCTTTTTCTACAACCTAGATAGAATTATAAATCAATTTCATGTCTGATCATTTGTTTTGGCTTTTCAAGTGTGAGTTTTCTTCCGTGACATGGAAATCCTCCAAATGTGATATTTTCTAGATTTACGAGTGTAGCAAAGAAAGTCACTTCCAGCACGACTGCAGAATTTTGGGTTTTTACCGTTACTCACCTATGACATTTAAATTAAAATCTGCAGACTGTGACCCAGCCTTGTTCTGCCCGGTACACCGGTATATACCTGTGTCTTTCTCAGACACGTTCCTGATTGTTAGTGAGCCACCTGAGATCGACACACCGTCGGTGTTTTTGAGGTTTGCATTGTTGCGAAACCAGGACACTGTTGGAGCAGGTCTGTTAAAGAGGGAAAATAGTGAATTAAGACACGATGTTTTTACAGGCCGCCATCGCATGGCAGGAGTACTGGGTTGCGGCTCCAGGCAACAAACAAAAACTTATTTTTTTATGCACATTGTGTGAGTGCATGGACATGCTCAGCCTTTTCTTGCACACCTGTGATCCGTTCATATAATTTTCATCGTTATTTTTCCTTTGGAATCTGTTTTAGCAGATAATCGAGACTGATTATTCTCCTTCGTTCACGTGTTATATTTATATTTACATCTAATTAAGTATTGATATGCATCTCTTTACATTTTACATATTTGGTTATGCTTGTACGAAAATCTACGTATATATATGTATATACAGTAGAACACGGATATAATGTACTACAAGAGACGAGAGAAATCAGTTCGTTATATCCGTTGTTCGTTATACACGTTTTCGCTCGGAAACGTCCGCCATCTTGGATAAGACAAAACACAATACACGTAACTGCAGCATTGCTGTATATATAACATGGCATGGTTAATTTGTGACTTCAACATTACATTATTGAACACTGCAGTTGACATTTACCAAACGTGTACTTGTGAATTCTCACATCTAAAAGTCTATTTTTATGCACGATGTATGTACCAGCGAAAACATGTTTAGATTTTAGATTTGTGTACTAAATGTCTTCTATATTGAATCCACAAATTGACGTCGAGTATAAGGACGCAAAATTGAAGTCTTACAGTACTGTTCTTAAAAGAAACCTTTGGGCTGGACGAGCGTTATCCAAACGCCCCATAGAAGAATATATATATATAATATCATTAATGTGAGGGGCGGTGGGGTAGCCCAGTGGTTAAAGCGTTGGCTCGTCACGACGAAGATCCTGGTTCGATTCCCCACATGGGTACAATGTTTAAAGCCCATTTTTCAGGTGTCCCCCGCCGTGATATTGCTGGAATCTGGCTAAAAGGGGCGTACAACCATCCTCACTCACTCACTCATTCAGGTGAACAGTTTATGCGTACCTGGCGCTGAAGATACATTGTAGGGTAACGTCTTTCCCCACTTTAGCATCGGTGTTTCCACTTGATTTTAAAAGTGTAGGTACTCTGTCTTTAGCTTCACCTGGTATTAAACATCGCATACTGTACCAATTTGTTCACACAAATAATTAATGGTGCGAATCTTTAGATACACGCTGAATTATGTAATGGGGTAATAACACTCTGCACATCAGGTTCTAGCATTATATAATCCTTTATTGGGCATAAAAGGATCCAGGGGCGGTCGGGTAGCCTAGTGGTTAAAGCGTTCGCTCGTCACGCCGAAGACCCGGGTTCGATTCTCGACATGGGTACAATGTGTGAAGCCCATTTCTGAATATTGCTAAAAGCGGCATAAAACCATACTCACTCACTCACTCATAAAAGTATCCCCTTGGGATTGGTCCCAAGCAACCAACATGGGTGGTTGTCATGGTGACTTAGTAGTCACTTGGTCGGGATGGACGTCTTGTTTTATTGCGTGTCATCGTACCCCTACTGCATGGATCGTTGCTCATAATATCAGACTTGGTTATTTACAGAGCGCCGTCAGTGAGTGCGGCGTTAAACACTCAACAAACATATCCATTACATAATTACCTTCTTTGACATTCAGCTGGACCGGACTTCCGAGTTTCATAGTGTTGCCATCAGAGACGCTGCATTTATACAATGCGGTGTCCATTACATTCACGTGTGAAAAGTGAAGAGTCCCTGAATTACAAAATTGATATGAAAATCACTGAATGGAACTGATCATAGTGTGGTGAACGTGCATACATGACTAGCCGTGTTGTAAGCTGAGTACACAACTCTGAAAAGGACTGATGTTTCTCACCTTCTTGATCTATTTGCCTTCTCGAATCAGTTGAGATCTGTGCACATTTCTTCCCACAATTCTGGAACCAGCTGATTTTCCCTCCAGGTGGGTCTCGGCAAGTCAATGACACGGGCTGTCCTTCAGTTACATTCTTTGTTATTGGGACATCCCATTTGCTAGCTGGGAAATAAAGTTGAAACATTTGGTGAAGGCGAAGGACTATTACTGCTATAACAGACAATACATTTTAATGAATTGTCGATTAGTCTATATTGGACCAAGAAAGTAAATCATGGTGACCTTCGTTATCGTCATTTGTTTATTTGTTTATCTTTAAGGCATCACAGTAAAATAATAATGGCAGCAAATCTGAGGATGTTATATTTCAATATGCATAAGTGAATTAAAGCTAACAAGAATGTGATGGGCATTCACAGACACATGTCAGAAATGGATTTGAACACGAGAGTTATCTTCATAAAGAGGGGTCACGGGTGGCCCAGTCGTCTAAGGCGCCGCGATTTGCCGTGCAGAGTTGCGTCCCTTGGGCACGCCAGAAACCTATGATTGTGGGTTCGAATCCCGGTTCGCCCCGATTACGTTTCTAGGTTTGTCAGCACCATACCCGTGCTCGTGGGTTTTACCGAAGTGGTAAACGTCTGAGACCTGCATCACTTCGGGCTTTCCTCCAACATTATTAAGCTGACCCGCCGTGATATAACTGGAATACTGTTAAAAGCGGCGTTAAACCCAACTCACTCACTCTTCATAAAGAGTTTACTTATGCATATTCCTTCGAGTCAGAACAATCAGAAGGTGTCCATTGCAGCAGAAATATGTGAGTGAGTTTGGTTTAACTCCGCTTTGAACAGTATTCCAGTTATATCATGGTGTGTAGGCTTAAGTGATGCAGGCCGAAGTGATGCAGGTCTCAGACGTTTACCACTTTGGTGAAAGCATCGTGCATGGGTATGGTGTTACAAACCTAGAAACATGATCAAGGCGAAACAAGATTAAAACCCACAATGTCAGGTTTCTGGCGTACCCAGGGGATACAACTCTGCACGGCGACTTGGGGCGCCGTAGACGTCTATTGATCTATTGAGGCCTGGATTTTATCGATTTTAGAAAATACTTGAAAATAAATTTTAATGTATACTTCAGAATGTTGACAAATAAATTGTCAGCCACAAAAAATACATTGCTGCAAGATGTGTTTTTTTTCCAAAATAATAATATTTAGGCTCGTGGTTTTATTGTCTGGTTTATTATCAGGTTTGCAGCTGTAGCTGAACAGTTACATGGCGTCCATAAAAATCCAGGCCAAATGTCCCACCAATTTACATGGTCGGTACCTAAACATAAATTTACGGAAAGCTGCATATTCGTCTACATGTGAGTAAGTGAGTGAGTGAGTGAGTGAGTATGGTTTTACGCCGCTTTTAGCAATATTCCAGCAATATCACGGCGGGGGACACCAGAAATGGGCTTGGGCTTCACACATTGTACCCACGTCGGGAATCGAACCCGGGTCTTCGGCGTGGCGAGCGAACGCTTTAACCACTAGGCTACCCGACCGCCGCCGACTATATCAAGAGCATGCATGTGTTTATGAACCACTATCAAATAGTAATGATACTAGCTGCCCTGCCCCACCGGTGGCACCCGCCACAAACAGATGCAAACTCTGAATTCACCTACAGTGTGCATACCTCGTGCATTGTGTTGATGTGCGTTTCATAGTCATTCTTGTTCAGTTTGTATGAAGCACAATAACAACATGAATGTGAGGAAGCACGGAACACTTACTGAACAAAATACAAAAAAAACATATTGTAGCGTTCGGATAGTGGTTTAATTGTATGAGCTATACTTGTATTATTTAAGGATGGTGTATCTTTGTCTGAGTACAATTCATCTTCAGTGTATATCAATTCATCCCCAGGGGAATGGAAGACCCACAATGATGTACAGCAAAATCATGGATCTCTGGAAGGGCGCCTCCCCCCCCCCCCCCCCCCCCCCCCCCCCCATGTGAGTAAAGTGCTACAGAAGCGTATTAGGATATACAACGCAAGACGACACCCCGTAGGGAATCGGCGTAAGAATAAAGGTCCCCAGCAACTTCGCTGGTTGTAAAAGGCGATTGAAGATTCAAAGTAAGAATAACCAAGAAAACTATAGCATGATAAATAAAAGAATAACAATCAAACTATATCAACAGTCGAATATAACTGATATACATTATACTGTTTGACTTCATAATTATTTACATTAGCTTTGACTAAGAGTGGTTTCTTGATGTGGAGCGCATATATCTTACCTGCAACATACACTGTTATCGCGATCAATGTCAGTTTTAAGTGGAGTTTCCTCATGTTGTTTAAGAATCCTATAAATACAACGAAGGTTTAAACTTATATGTACATTGAAAATATGTTGCAATGCATGTATGCTGATGAACCTGTAAAAACATCAGCTACAACATTTAAAGTGTAGGGAAAACATGGTGGCTACAGGGCTTTTGTCCTGCACCATGCCTGCAAAATATCTCCATTTCAATAAAAAAAATTAATAAAAACTAATGAAAATAGGCAAATCTATCTGGCTGTATTCCAACAAAACATTAGAAATCAAATATATTACGGAATATTAGTAACATTTAACAAGAAAAAAACATGTTCGTCAGATACTTTGTTACAACCGTAACAAAAACTATTTATAATGATGTAATGACAAAATATACGACTGTGGCAGCAGTCTTTCTAACCATCGAACTGCCAACGTCAATGTATTAAGCCTGGTTCCGGCATCGCAAAGTCAATGACAAAGCCATGGTCATAAGAAAGGCCAAAGGCCACACGCTACCATTCATTTGGGACATATGTTGCCTTTCCGTCAATGAACGTTGGGACTCAAAGTGAGAACAAGACTATGTTCTGTGTCACTGAAAGAAATCAAACGACTCAAGCAACTGTTTCAGAAGGATGGGTCTACAATCAGAGCCCACAGTGTCGACTTGAGAGTGTATCGCGTTGAAACGTTTGACAAAACCGCACTCAGTTAGAAAAAGACCGCATGCTCATGAATTAACAATTTGCAAATATGTGAAGTGATACCTTAAACTTTACAAACATTCTCTGATAAATATCAGTTTCCCACAATTGTTTAACTTTCCTGATCTACCAAGAGTTTCGTTTTCCAATACGAACATCCAACTTGTTCAGTTAAAGGAACGTGATGCAAACGTGGACTTGGCAGTTAATGATATAAATACAACTACTTGTGGCAAGGGTTTTGTCGTGTTTATTTACACATTACATCGGTTAATTTTACATGTAAGGGTTAGAATATACACTGTAGATGTTCCAGTATATATACGTGAAAATACTGTATGCCAACCTTACCTTATTCGAGAAGCCTACGTGTGTGTGCACCTCCAACATCAGTGTGTGTTTGAGAGGCCAGGAGAGAGTCAGGCGCAACGGAAAAGCGGACGTAAGATCTAACGAAAGCGGAAATCATTACCCGCTGTTATAACTACACGTGGACATTGTACAGATCTGTCAGCAGTGCAACTCTGTTCAACACAAACTTAAACGACCGAAAGCCATAATATTATTATCAGTCTAAACGATGATATGAGGGAGACAACATATGGAGAATTCAACCCGTGAAGATGCGAGGTAGAATAGGTCTTCAGTAACCCATTCTTGCCGTAAAAGGCGACTATGTTAGTCGCAAGGGGCAACTAACGGGATCGGGTGGTCAGGCTCGCTGACTCGGTTGATGCATGTCATCGATCCAATTGCGTGGATCGATGCTCATGATGTCGATCAATGGATTATCTTGTCCATACTCGATTATTTACAGACCGCCGTCATACAGCTGGAATATTGCTGAGTGCGGCGTTAAACAACAAACCAACAACCAACATCTACCACTATTACTGATTGTACTTCTACTACTGCTTGTGCCACTACCACAAGTACAACCACTATTAATGCTACTACAATCAATTACTACCTGTTCTAATACTATTGATACTAACACATATGTTACTATTATTTCTATTACTACTATTACTTCCATACTTAACACAACTTCCACTATCATTACTTATACATGTACTATTAACACCAATATTATATTACATCTACTTCTATTACTATTACTGCTTGTGCTTTTACTACTGCTAGTGCCACTACCCCAACTACAACCACTTCTCTTAATTCTATTAATAACCTCCAGCATGTTTAAGGACATAAAAAGCGATCTTGTTTCAATTTCTGTCATTCCTATTGAGAGGTAGGTGCGGTAAAGTTCAACAAACTGCAATAAACTGCGGCAAATTGAATAGAAGGAAATATACTTCACGTTGAAAATGTACAAGTAATCTAGTTGGAAGTCGAACCCGGACATTTCTATAATTCATAGTGTTGCCCGCATGGAAAATCAATCTCATTAAAATCAGATCTAAGTTATCGCTACCGCTATACAAAGAGCTGAGGACATCCCACTACGGGTCACGTCACACCGACCCTGCGCGAACTTTGACCGACCAATGAAATGACTGACAAGAAGTCGATATTAGCAAATCAGAAGGCAGCTTTCTCGTGCTTTACGGCAGTAATTTCAAATTGGCGACCACCCTTCGAAACATATTTCGACAAATTCTCGATAAAAAATTTGAAACCCTGAACAAAAACACTCTTTCTGGAATGGTTTATAGATGGTCGGGATTGTATGGATTCAGTCAAGCCCGTAACTATCGTTCGGAATACCCCGTGTTAAAGTTTTCGGGGTTGCATGATTAGAAATCACATTCCGACTGTCACTTCCATGATTTGGTAAGCGACGATCTGATTGGTCGGATGAAAGGTCGTTCTGGCGTGACCCCTCATGGGATGTCCTCAGATCTTTGTTTAGCGGTAGCGAGGACTAAGATCTGATTTTAATGCGACTGATCGAAAATATATTTCATTGCTTCTGTATTGACATGAAACATGATACTTCCAACATCCAATTAATTTATTATGACCCAAATTAATTTAATTTTCAACAGGCGGTTGTAGTGTGACAGGGCCATAACAACGATACTTGAAACGTCAATCCAAAGAACACTTGTGTTTCAAAACCTCCAGTCTCGCTAATGGCCCTGTCACACGACACATATAGCATTAGCGTATGCCGACGTATGAGAATTTTTGCCGAATCGCTGGCAACGCTGAAACACGCTAAGGATAAGTAAGGTAGGTGTAAGATGTACACGTTAAAAGCACGGTGGTACACGTTGTAGTACACCGAGGCTTTAAAACATTTTTGTGCATGCACAAAATTTTCGGCGTATGGGAACGTATGAGTTATAATTGAACAAAATTGAAACTTTGTTGTTACTCAATTCACTTTTGAACAATACATATTTTACCAAAATAATAGTTCCTGAAATAGCCAGGATTTCTACCCCTTTGTGGACAACTATATGAAATGAAAATAAAAAAATAAAGAGGGAAAAATACGGTTTGTTTCTCACATTTTACATATCTAGACTGCTCTCGCTTTTCGTGGTAATTTTAGGAATGGGTGTACACTACTAGTTATACTCCCGCGGGGCCCGTTTTAGGCACGTTTCCCCTACGCTGAGCGCGCTTGTCATACTCATACGCTGGGCATACCCTGACCATAGGTTGAACACGCGAGACACACGCTGGCAGTACGCTTTATACGTTGTCATAAGTAATGTATAAGTCAGTGATACGCCCAAATCATGGTTTTTCGATGAAAGCTCGACGGTTGACAGCGTCCTAACTGTCTTTTACACGCTAGGTGCAAGTTACTCTAAAACGGTGTAGTGTAACAGGGCCATAAGCCATATATCATGGCATGAGTCTTTTTAAGACTACTTTTTCCAACATATGTATATTATTGCATACCATTCATACGCATTCTCTTCTACAAGTAGCCATGCGTTGATCCACTTTTTATGGCTATTGCAACACCACTACGTTTTCCGTAGTTCATTATATGTCTACGCACTAACGGTTCTTGGAAGGGTGAGTGAGTGAGTGAGTTGGGTTTAACGCCGCTTTTAACAGTATTCCAGTTATATCACGGCGTGTCAGCTTAATGTGGGAGGAAAACCCTAAGTGATGCAGGTCTTAGACGTTTACCACTTCAGTGAAACCCACGAGCACGGGTATAGTGCTGACAAACCTAGAAACATAATCGGGGCGAATCGGGATTCGAACCCACAATCATAGGTTACTGGTGTGCCCAAGGCACGCAACTCTGCACAGCGAATCGCGGCGCCTTAGACGACTGGGCCACCCGTGCCCCCCTTGGAAGAGTGATGTGCGCGCAATAAATCCGTGGTCGCAAATGGGGAAATGATCTTGTGTGTTGATGGAACTGATGGGACACTTGCAAGAAAGATGTCACAGTCTTGCATAATGATCTGTCAGACGACTGCTAGACCTCCTGTAAAGAATTCAATGATTAGAGTGAGTGAGTGAGTGAGTATGGTTTTACGCCGCTTTTAGCAATATTCAAGCAATATCACGGCGGGGGACACCAGAAATGGGCTTCACACATTGTACCCATGTCGGGAATTGAACACGGGCTTCGGCGTGACGAGCGAACGCTATAACCACTAGGCTACCCGACCGCCCCTCGATGATTAGAAGCACCACCTCGTCTGGCAGATCGTTGAATGCAACTGTTTATCATATTGTAGCATGTTGTTACCGGTTCCTTCCATGTGATGACATGTCTTTTCGACATGGGATAAGGTTGGAAAATAGCAGTAGCAGTATTACATAGATATTAGAAAAGCACTATTCCTATGGCCGAAGGCTGCCGCTGTGCTAAAATTGCAGTATCATTACGCTCATATTAGAAAAGCATTATGTCTATAACGGAAGGATGCTGCTGTGCTAAAGGTTAGAAACTAGTAGTAGCATTAAACATAGATATTAGAAAAGCACTATGTCTATGGTGGAAGGATACCGCTGTGCTAAAATAGCAGTATCATTAAGCTGATATTAGAAAAGCACTTTGTCTATAACGGAAGGCTTCATTTGTGATTGATACTTCAAGGAATATCCATAACCTATTCGTTTGCCGCAGGGAATGTAAAGGACCGGTTCATTTGCGACAACACAACATGGACTCATTTCTACATCATTTTTAGCAAAGTATATACATCTCTATTAAACAAGCGACATTTGGGTCGGAAGCATATGCTAGGATATCGTAATCGCAAGGAGGATTCCGAAAGGGTTACAGCACCACAGACACAATTTTTATTTTCCACTCTATTATACAGAAAGTCTTGTAAAAAAAACGCGGCAAGTTCGACGTGGCCTTTGTGGATTTTTCAAAGGCGTTCGATTTAGTTAATAGAAATAAACTAGTATGGTATGTTCTAAAATGTAGACGAGTTTCTTCCAAAAATCAATTTATAATTGTGTTAAAGCATGTGTCAGAGCTAACAACATATTGTCAAACCCATCTGAATGCCCACTGGGCCTAAGACAAGGATGCGTTCTGAGCCCACTATTGTTCTCAATGTTTATTAATGAACTTGCCGATTAAATGGAATCTACATATGGATCTGGTATTCGACTTTATCAAGATAACATTCAATTATTTCTGCTTTATTTTTGCTGACGATGTGGCACTCATTTCATCCACTATTATTGGTCTTCAGAAACAGATTGATACTTTGTATAGTTTTTGTTCTGACTACAATTTGTCTGTTAATTAAGATCAAACCAAAATACTTGTATTCAAGAATGGTGGCATTTTGTCAAGATATGAAAAATGGTTTTATCATAACACACAAATAGAATGTGTTGCATGGTATTCGTACCTTGGAATAATATTTTCTAAATCTTTGTCATGGAATAAGCATGCTGCAAATGCTACGTTGCAAACAAAAAAGGTTATCTGTGGTTTATTCAGGACATTGTCAGCAATTCAACCTCTAACATATGAGACATATTTCAAAATGTTGTAAAAAAATGAAGGTGATTCATTTATCGACATGCAAACGTTTCTTACGCGTAAAATTATCAAGTCATATGGCAAGGGTAGGATGTGTCAGATATCCCTTATATACATATATGCTTACAAACGTACTGTAAAATACTGGTGTCGAATTGTAAATTTTAATGAAAAACGATATGTAAAAAAATGTTACAATAAGTTGTTGTTATCTGCCAATAATGGAAAGATTAACTGGGTATCTAAGATTAAGCCCTTGCTCTACTCCAATGGTTTTGACTATGCCCCTTTATGCCGAGCGCCAGACAGGGTAACAAAAAGTACCATCTTTCAACGTCTTTTGGTACGACGCGGTCGGGGATCGAACCCCGGACTTACCGCTCTCGGGGCGGACATTCTACCACTAGACCACGGAGGCAGTCTTGCAAAACTAAGAAGTTGTATCTTCTTGTATCACTACTATTTGATAGGGATTCATGAAAACATACTCATGATATAGTCGGAATCGTACAATCGACTCTGCTTTAGAGGATTTTTATGCTTTATTTAATTTATTCCCATCATTTAAGAATTGAAACTGGACGACAATGCAAACAACCAAGATGTGAGAGAGTATGTTTACTGTGTAACAATTTGTATATAGAAGATGAGTACCATTTTATCCTTGTTTGTAATGTATATCAATCCATCAGTAACGATTTTATACCAGCAGAATTCTGTGTCAATCTGTCTATAATTAATTGTTATACCCACATGTCCAGTAAAAATGAAGTCCATTAGATATTTTAAAGAATCTTGCAACATATGTAAACTAGTCAAAAAAAGAAACGCACGGGTAGTGTTTAGCAAATTTATTGTACCTAATAAAGTCGATATATTTAATTTAATATCATGGATGCAAATATGACATTTTGGAGCGCGATAGTCACATGTTGTCGTTGTACAAAGGCATGGTAAACTGTTCATTGTCATGTCACATAAGGCCACAACACCATGACACTACCGCAACCGAAATTGTCGAATTCACGTACACAATGTGGGGCAAAACGCTCATTTCGACGACGATAAACACGTTGTCTTCCATCTCGCCGGTGAAGAAGAAATCGAGATTCATCTCAAAGTCACACTCGTCTCCAGTTTCTCAAATTCCAAGGCTGTAAGGTATGACACCAACGCAAGCGTCGCTGTCGATGGATCTGCTGCAAAACAGGGACGATAACTGGTCTTCTGTGATGGATTCCAGCCTCGCGAAGATGGTTCCTGACAGTCTGGTCCGATATCATCCTCAAACCAGGGATGCCTCCTGCTGTATCTGTAGCTGTGCCATTGCGATGACGTAGGTGGAATAGTCGATGTATCGATCCTGTGCAGGTGTGGTAACTCTTGGTCGGCCGGTTCCCGGACGGTCTGCTGTGGAATTGAACTGTGTGTATCGGTCCCAAAGGCGGCAAATGGTGCTGTGGTGGACGTTGAAGTGGCGTGCAACAGGAGTCTGCGATTCCCCTCTTTGGATACGTCCTATGGCGATGTTCCGATAGGCAGCGCTGAGTGTCGGCATTTTCGAACTTGAAAAATGTTCACTATTGAATGACAAGTTATTGGCTTATGCTTGCCTTTTTCACAGCCACTACCACGAGTTACGAATGCCATAACTTGCACGTGCATTTTTCTTTATTGTTTTTCTCGATGACATTTTTTAACAAGTGTGAAAACAATGCCGTTTAAGACATTGCAAATCGACAATGGCTGCGTTTTGACGCACCGTTTGTCAAATATCAGGCCACTAACATTTTCCAATTACATATATCCAATCTATATACTGATTTGTTGTGTAGTCAGGTTCAGTGAACTACATACTACCTCTGCGTTTCCTTTTTTGGAAGAGTGTATATAGGTCTACATAACTAAGAAGAGCTGTGGTGGAACCTTTCTCCATATTTATCACATAATCAACCACTGCTTGTAAGTACCTACATGTAGAGAGTTCATGTGCTCGTGGGAGCTAGAACATCAAAATGTTTGTTTTTGTGTTTGTTTGTTGTTTAACGCCGCACTCAGCAATATTCCAGCTATATGACGGCGGTCTGTAAATAATCGAGTCTGAACCAGACAATCCAGTGATTAATATCATGAGCATCGATCCACGCAATTGGGATCGATGACATGCATCAACCACGTCACCGAGCCTGACCACCCGATCCCGTTAGTCGCCTTTTACGACAAGCATGGGTTGCTGAAGGCCTATTCTACCCCGGAATCTTCACGGGTCGGAACATCAAAATGCAATAATTATTGTGTTTTTCAAAGACCATTATTTCTCTCCCAGTAAACAGCTATCGTTGCTTGATTATGATGTGTTGATCAAGAGTGGAATATATTTCCCCCTCTGGTAATTCACCACACTGACATTTCAACAAAAGGGCTTTTCCCCACAATGAATAATAAAAATGATATAAAACAACAGACATGTGTAGTTTTCAATACAATTTTATTGGCAACTTGCCGCACCTGCCTCTTGATAGGGATAACGCTGGAGCTCGAATTATGTTAGGAATATGACGGAATGAGAGATTTTATTACAATTAACCGCACTTGGTATGATAATTTGCCGCAGTTTGTTACAATTTGCCGCAACTGCCTCTCACTAGGAATGATATAAATTGAAACAAAATCGCTTTTTTACTTTCTTAAACATGCTGGAGGTTGGAATTGATCATGTTAAATTCTAACAAACACTGGAACTTGAATTCTGTTTGGATTAAATACAAAAAAAATTAATATTAAACATTTAATGTATAGTTGTCTTCATCAATTAAGTCTTTTCAAAGTCCGGGTTTTATTTTCCAAACAGCTTTGTCGCACATTTTAAACTTCATGCACGCAGTTTTTACTACAATTTACCGCAGTTTTACAATTTACCGCGTTATTACAGTTTACGTCGTATCACACTTCTACTCTGCAACTTCTGCAACTAATGCAAAAGTGCTACTACTACTACTACTACTACTACTACTACTACTACTACTACTACTACATTAGCGCGCCTGTCAATGAACCTTATATGTATCTAGTGTACCACACTCATGACAAACCATCGAAAAGTGCGTGGTTCCTCAATACAATGAAACGAGAAATATAGGAATGTTCACCACTTTGGATGACGTTGTGAATCTATTCACAATCACTGACAATTGGAGGTTTCAGGTATCTAACTTCCATTTCATCAATTTCTTCATAATCACGAATCTCCGTTTTTTCCTGCTTTCTGCGCCTGAAATTGAATAGTTTCTTACAGGACACGTTCATGAATGAATACGGTTTGTGAACAATGTGAAAATATGAAATTGGGTTAACGTCGCGTTCAAGACTTTTTCACTAATGTAGCGACGTGCACACAGACGCTTTCCAGGCAGACGCTCTTATCCACCAGAACACGAAGGCGGTCTAACCAGAATATGTATATCTAAAACATATTTTGTCAGCACCATACCCGTGCTCGTGGGTTTCACCGAAGTGGTAAACGTCGAAGACCTGCATCACTTCGGGCTTTCCTCCCACATTAAGCTGACACGCCGCGATATAACTGGAATACCCAACTCACTCACTCACTCACTCTAAAAACCTATAGTAATTATTTTTTACATTCCCATACGTTATATGCTGGGAATAATATTTGTACATAATATTTACTGTATGTATACAGTAAAATACGTATATATAGTTCAATATATATATATTTATATGTATATATATATATATTTATCATCCAAAACTGGCTCCCACAGGAGATATCGCTTGGATAAGATCAAGCGATATCTACACTGTAGATATCGCTGCAATGAAATTACATCACAATGCTTTGCAGACCATTGTGACGTCACTGGTTACCATGACGTCACAATCAAATGACATCACTAATGGCTCTGCTACTGAAGCTGTTAGCAGTACTTTTTACACTGAAGACACTGCTAATTACTGTCTAAAAATTGAAAAAGTTGGAAGAATGATGTTGGATGATAAATACAATCTCAACCTCGTGTCTTTTGATATCAAATATATCATTATTATTTTCTAAGACTAATCTTAAAGATTCCACTATGAAACTTTCCGAAAATTCAGTGTCGATAGCCTCAGGATGTTTTCTCAGCCAAAACTGAACTGCTTCCAATCCCAGATCATGGGGTATGTTGGTAAATAAACTCTTCACATCAAAGGTGGCTAGAGTCGCATCAATAGGTACGGCATCGGGCAGCTGGGAAAGAAAGTCTACATCGTCTCTGACAAAACTCGGTACATGCTTTGTTAATGGTTTTAAAATGATATCGACGAGATTACTTAGGCGCTGAGTAGGGCTGTTCGAACTCTAGAATGTATTAATAGATTTGTCATTTCAATCGTAAATGTTGCACTGTTACTTTACAAATACTGTATATTTAATTCAAATGTCTCCCTACAATTGTTAAATTACTTGGTGTCGTCGCTGGAGTGTGTAACACATTATGACGTCACAGTTGTAATTTATGACGTCATCATAAGTATGACGTCATTATATGTCATTGTCAGTTACACTGAAGAGCTGTCATGAGACAGCGAAAGTACTATTTATTACTTGCCCGTGAAGAGATCACCCGTTTAATAAACATACATGTACAGCTTTATTTCACATTGTGTAATACCAAAACGCGTGCTTATGTACTCTCGGAACACGTTTCACGAACAAATATTGAAAGCTCTCAACATCCCTTGGCTTATTCAACGACATTGCGTGTGGAGTTGATAGATCACTGAGAGGAGCTTATGCACACTCGATGGCCCCAGCAACCTTGTTGCTAGGCTGACGTCACATGGCATTGTTTCGCCGATGGATCTTGCATCAAAATTCCACAAATTACGTCATCGGGTATTGCGACGTTATTGAAAACTTTGAGGTGCAAGGCCCGTTCCACAAGGCGATCGTATTGTAGCCCAACGACAGTCGTTGGTCTAAGTTAAAGTATGTGAGATGCGAAAGTCTTAGCCCTACGATAATTTTGTGAATTCTAAAGGTAGATCCGTTGTATGGTATGAAATTTATGCGTTTCAACTTTTGACGTGTTTGAAGTATTATTCTGTTAAACTCAATTGGACTATGCCCTGGATCATGTAGGTGTCAGCCTATTCATACTCAACAGTATAATTCAAAAAACGTTATAAATTGCAAGTAATAAATAAAATACTAAACTCGCTCCCGTGTAAAACCAATTTTATGAAACTCGTCGTGAATAGTTGTGGTATCTGACTCGCTTTCGCTCGTCAGATACCACAACTATTCACTCGTTTCATAAAATTGGTATTACACGGGAGCTCGTTTAGTATTCTATATGTATGAAACTGATAAAATAAGATGATGGACTAACGTGGACTTTATTATTTTATTATATATTACATGAACATTTACCTCATTTTTGTATATGTATATATATATATTACGAGGTGTTTCCGAATGCAGTGTACTGGGAAGTTAATTCAAAATAACGGTCAACGTACCTAGTTCTTGCTACATGTAACAGGAACACCATACCACCAATAACGATGACAGCAACACACAGTGGAACAACTACATACATAGGGACACCCTCAGCCTTGGTTGCTGCAATGTAGAAAAAACTTAGTGTAAAGCATGACGTCTCTGCGTCAGTAAATCGATGCGAAAGCCGACAGCTATGCAAATATATTTCATGAAAATAATGCGGGTTGGCCCACCTTTGACAATTGAATAGAAACTAGCTCATTAATCGGCAACGACCGAGTACATTCATTTAAAGTTCGACTGGGTAATTAATAGCTTTAGTTTTACTTTTCGCGCAAACATAACATCTCCCAAATACCTTACAATTTTAGTCTTAACTAACGTTAGCGTGAGTGTTATCGTTTTGTTGCAGTTTGGTTTTGCAGTGATATTTCAATAAAGCGAGCGCCGGTTTAATGTGTAAAGCCTATTTGTGTTAAGGTAGACACAATTTTTATGTATAACAACATCTATAATACTGGGAAAAGCGACTTTTCGGTATAGACCTTATACCGAGCGACATTGTGTCTATCTTGTCACCCGTCACCTTATAAGTAATGCCTATCAAACAATTTTTCCCATTAGTGTTGTTCCTCCGCCGTGATATTGTTGGAAACCACTCACTCACTCACTCACTCACTCACTCACTCACTCACAGTTGGAAACCACATTCACTCACTCACTCACTCACTCACTCACTCACAGTTGGAAACCACACTCACTCACTCACTCACTCACTCACTCACTCACTCACCCACCCACCCACCCACCCATCCACTCACTCACTCACTCACTCACTCACTCACTCACTCACCCACCCATCCACCCACCCACCCACCCACTCACTCACTCACAGTTGGAAACCACACTCACTCACTAACTCAAACCCAGCCACTCACTAACTCACTCACTCACTCACTACTTACACTTGTTGGATATGTAAAGAAGAGCGGAGTGTGAACCTTCCTCGTTCTCCCCCGTACAGTTGTATTCCCCAAAGTCTTCAGTAGTCACGTTCTCGACGGTCATAAATGCAGTAGAGATCATTTTGCTTCTGTTTGTATGATGGGTCAGTACTCTACCGTGACGTTGCCATGTGACAACTGGTATGGGTCTGTAATAAAACAAACAGTAAGCTTATGCCTCAGGCTGGAACCAATATTTATATATATTCATAAAACGGAATCTGTAATATGGCTTCAGGGAAGAGTCATGAAATCAGAAGGAACCATTTTATTATTTAAAAAAGTAGGCAAGGACTGACCATAAATAGGTCGTCTTCGGGACCGTTTTGTTTTTTGTACCGTATTTATGTACATGTAAATAATTAGTAAAACGTGAAAAAAATGTACTTTTTAGTTTCAACAAAAGCAGCAATCGACCTGACGTATCACGGGATTGTATGTTAAAACACTAAGTCTTCAATATCTGGTCAAGACGCGATTGCTTATAGGCAGCCCTCGTATGGTAGGATTACTGCCTTGCAAATGTTTGGCAACATATACCTACTTTTGCAAAGCAGAACGTGGTTATCCTTTCAGCGATTGCCCCATGTCAAATGAAATACGCCACTTGTGATGTCTCTTAAGGGTGAGTGTGTTCATTGTTTCGCCACCCTTTAGCAATAGTCCAGCAATATCACGGCGAGGGATAATACGAATTTTACAAGTAGAGATGATCGTGAAGATCCGGGGTAGAATAGGTCTTCAGCAAGCCATGCTTGCCCTAATAGGTGACTATGCTTGTCGTAAGAGGCGACTTACGGGATCGGGTGGTCAGGCTCGCTGATTTTGTTGATGCATGTCATCGTATCCCAATTGCGTGGATCGATGCTCATGATGTCGATCACTGGATTGTCTGGTCCAGACTCGATTGTTGACAGACCGCCGTCATATAGCTGGAATATTGCTGAGAGCGGCGTTTAACAACAAACAAATAACAAACTAGGCAACCACACACCCCCATCTCTTCATAAAGTTGATGACAAAAAAGCCTGTACCTGCCGGTGAATATACATTCCAGCCTGACGTCTTCTCCCAGTAACGCCGTGGTTGTTTCACTGTATGATACCAATGTAGGTGGTGCTGAATGATTACCACCACCTACAACACAAGACCTGTGGCTACATTACCTGAGCTTTGCTTATCCTTGGACCGGTTTCAAAATAACAGTACAGATAGATGTTCTCAGGGTCTACGCTTTCATGATTGTCATTGACAGTGTAGAATAATCCAATAACATCTAAAACCAAACTTTGTAAATTGAATATACAGATGTATTACTTTAGTGAGTGGGTGAGTTCAGTTCAACACCGCTTCTATCAGTTTGGTCATAGCTTAACGTGTCAGGTTGATGAGGGAGGGATGCCCATCTGAGACAAGTTTTAGACGTTCATCACTTCGGTGAAACCAAATGCTGACAAACCTAGAAACAATCAGGGTGAACCAGGATTGTCCCGTGTTGACGCTACTGTTTTCAAATAAAACTTTTACTTAATGTATGACTGTCTACTCCGTCCAAATGCGGGATCAGGTGGTCAGGCTCGCTGACTTGGTAGAAGCATGTCATCGATCCAAATTGCGTAAATCGATGCTCATGATATCAATCACTGGATTATCTGGTCCAGACTCGATTATTTACAGACCGCCGTCATATAGCTGGAATGTTGCTGAGTGCGGCGTAAAACAACAAACAAACCAAACCAAACCGTCCAAATGCAATACTGATACTTAATTATGTTTACATCATACTTTCCACCGACACCCAATGAAGCGGTCACATGATGAGTACAAACCACGTCTCTGTACCACTGTAATGTTTACAGGACTTCCAAGGCGTATTGTATTCTTGTTCTGGGTGCCGCACTTGTATAGACCGGTGTCACTTCCTTTAACATAGGCAAAGTGAAGCGTTCCTGGAAACATTGAATCTATAAGAGTTATGGTTATATATCAACATGGACGTTTTAAATATGTTAGATAGGATAAAAATTGATTAATTTTTTACAACTCGAGAGAAATTGTTTTATCATTTTATTTCAACCGCGAGATTATAAGACGTACGAATGGAAGAGTATTGTGCATAAGTATAATAACTTAATGGCTCAGACCGCCTCCGTGGTCAAGTGGTAGTGCGTCAACCCGGAGAGCGGAAGGTCCGGAGTTCGAACGTCTGCCGCGTCATACCAAAAGACGTAAAATGATGGTACTTGTTGTTACCCTGTCTGTCTAACAAGGATTGGTCCGCTCAGAGTTAGTATACTGTGTCTGAGTGGTGTATTCATGTTAAACTGCGGTATGGTATCTCAGTGGGCCAGCACTACAAATCGGCATCAGTCCGGGCTAGTACAAGCACGCACGCACGCACGCACGCACGCACGCACGCACGCACGCACGCACGCGCGTGCATGCACGTCTCTTTGTAAGTGCAATAATCTTGGACGCGACGTTAACCTCACCTCACCTCACCTCACCTCACCTCACCTAATGGCTCACCTTCTCTGTCTTGCATAACTCTTTTAGTCCGCTGTATTTGTTGAAGTGTATTGACATATTTGTACCAGTATGGCAAAACATTTGTGTACGGAGGATTCCGACAGTGCAGAGAAAGACCTTCACCTTCAGTTGTTGTGACACTCATCAACGGAGCGTCCCAAGCGTTTTGATTCCCTTCTAATATAAATATATAACATGTTACAATATCTATATCCGTGACACAAGAACATTACATATTCAATCAAATCATGTATGGGTGTGTGCTGCCGTATTTAAAGCCAACCAGACAATACACATTGTTACAAATCCTTATCATTTGTAACAGGCATTAATTCTCTAACGGATGAGTATAGCTACTAATGGGGCCTTTACACAGGATGGCGACCTTTGTGCCTCCCGTGTGCGACCATAATATTTGCCAGGTCGTCGTTGGAGGCTCAAAGAAGGCAGAATGGTCGTTCCAAGGTGGTACACAGGAGGTTCAGGCATCGCCATGAATGCCATGATCGCCGTCAATTTTATAACATGTTCAAAACAGTCGCACAAAGGTCGCCGAGGAGGTTGGTTGCTCAAACGTGGCTCAAAGGAGGCAGAAGGGAGGTACAAGCATTGCCGCTGTTGCAGAATGAAGGCACAGTGGTCGCTCAATGGTCGTCAGGTAACAGATGCGTTCTGCTGAAATGTTTTCCCGTCAATCATGGACGACGCTTCTGCCTCCCTTGTGCCTCCTTTGGGCGATCAACAGCGTGCATTGAACGATGACTTTGGCGACCGCCATGCCTCCATTCGGCGACCACGGCAACACTTGAGACACCATGGCAATGCTTCTTCCTCTTTTCTGCCTCCTTTGAGCTACCTGTAGTGCCTCCTCAGCCCGCCTATAAATATAAGGCTTGTATCTGCAGTGTTTAATTGTGGTTGCAGACGTTGAACAACTCGAGCAGTTACTGCTGAGCAACTGCTGGAGCAGTTACATAGAAACATGATTTTCAGGGTTTAGGTGACCATGGAGCGTCCTGGCCAGTTTTTGATCACTCGAAGGTGGCACAAATGTAGCAGCCTTGTGTAATGGGGGCTTTAAGGGGGCTTAATATAGGGTGCTACCAACCTTCTGCAGTCCTTATGACAGCAAGCGTCAAGAGTTCCAGCACTTTGATCAACATGTCCCTACAAAAATCCAATGGCAGCAACATTGCAGGTGACGGTCCTGTAGTGTCAGTCCATTTGTTTAAATCAATCTCACTGTGTATATTTTACATGTAACCACATCCTGTCTTCTTCATCCACTACTTCTCATTGTAATTTTGTGATCTTTGTTTGGCTATTTAGACATCGTGACGATTGCGCTGCCTAATATTATCAAATGACATAAAATATTAATATTACGGTGATGGTGAAGTATGTATTGCCCCGTATGTAATATTACGGCTATATACTCGTAGATATATTTAAACACGTCCCATTTTAATTCTGGAAACCCAAAAGTCCAGAAAGCCCATTCTCGGTCAAAGGTATTTACAAAATTAAACATGCTGTTTTCATGGGAACATACCAAGGAAGAAAAAATGAAAAAAAAAATTGTTCAAAAACTCAATGCATACACTATGTCGCCCATGGGCCTGCCCATGGGCGAAGATTGGCCTATGGGTAGGCCCATGGGATGCCCCATGGGCGAGAATATGTTCCTTTACTTAAAACTCATGTTTTTGTTTCGTAAATACATAAGTGTATTTCTTTCAAGTATCATGACATAAAATTTAACTCATTTTAACTTAATTCAACGATTTTATAGCGATATTGAAATATTTCGCCTATGGGCGAGAAAAAGGTTTGGCCCATGGGCGAGAATATGTTCCTTTACTTAAAACTCATGTTTTTGTTTCGCAAATAGATAAATTTATTTCTTTCAAGTATCATGACACAAAACTTAACTCATTTTAACTTAATCCAACGATTTTATAGCGATATTGAAATATTTCGCCCATTGGCGAGAAAAAGGTTTGGCCCATGGGCGAGAATATGTTCCTTTACTTAAAACTAATGCTTTTGTTTCGCAAATACATTAGTGTATATCTTTCAAGTGTCATGACATAAAATTTAACTCATTTTAACTTAATTCAACGATTTTATAGCGATATTGAAATATTTCGCCCATGGGCGAGAAAAAGGTTTGGCCCATGGGCGAGAATATGTTCCTTTACTTAAAACTAATGCTTTTATTTCGCAAATACATAAATTTATTTATTTCAAGTATCATGACAAAAAATTTAACTCAATTTAACTTAATTCAACGATTTTATAGCGATATTGAAATATTTCGCCCATGGGCGAGAAAAGGGTTTGGCCCAGGGGCGAGAATATGTTCCTTTACTTAAAACTAATGCTTTTGTTTCGCAAATACATTAGTGTATATCTTTCAAGTGTCATGACATAAAATTTAACTCATTTTAACTTAATTCAACGATTTTATAGCGATATTGAAATATTTCGCCCATGGGCGAGAAAAAGGTTTGGCCCATGGGCGAGAATATGTTCCTTTACTGAAAACTCATGGTTTTTTTTCGCAAATACAGATATGTATATCTTTCAAGTATCATGACACAAAACTTAACTCATTTTAACTTAATCCAACGATTTTATAGCGATATTGAAATATTTCGCCCATGGGCGAGAAAAAGAATATTTTCCTTTGCTCAACAGTATCTTTAATGAACGATCTTTAATGAACCCGGCCTTGTCTCTCAAAACGTTTTGAGAGTTTATCAAAAGTTATTTCATTGGCGTTATTTTCCAACAAATTAAAGTTTAGTTTGTTTCTTTTTCATTTCCCATTTTATGTCTCGTTGATACATCACACTGGGAAATTAAGTGACACTAGATATGCAATATACAGGTACACGTGCGCGAATTTTAATGGGCACAAAACCCGATTCGTCTTTCATTGCATAACGTCTAGCTGAATATCTCACATTCTAGCGAAATCTCGAAATAATTATTTCATTATATGCGGTGCGATGTTTACAGGCGATTGATGAAAACTTGAGTGAATATTATGACACTAAAGCAACTTTTAAATGCATTGTCACTTTTGGTATGAAAATGGTAACAGTTCAGAAAAAAACAACAGCCTTCTTATGATAATTCTCATATTCTCATTAGTACGTTATATCTAATTACAGTGTCGGCATTATTTACAGGTGATTCCACAATACCTGCTCTCGGTCAATTACGATCTACCACACCACGCGTGAATAAACAGTTATGCAGGTGTTGCTGTGGGCAAATACCTAGCCTGTATATGTATATTTTTTTGTCGATACATGTATTACATATTTTCGTTGATATGTGGATATATTAAGCACAAAGACAAAAAAAAAGTTTATGAAAGATGAATTAGTGCCTTGATATATTCAACGAGATGTGTATCATCGTTTAATGGGTCATTCAATAAAAGTATGTTTGGAGGAATATCAAAGGAGCCGCCCAATATACACAGTGACGTCCGGTGAACTATCACCACACCCTTTCCGTAAGAGTTATGTAATCGGTACACAAATATATTTGATGCGGTGTCAGTGTGGAAGGAGTTTGAATTACGTCCGCCACTGGCCACAGAAATCCTCAAAGTATAGTAACAATCAACAAGGTCAATGCTGTACTAATTACCTGGTGACGCACGTAACAACGACTGTCAATCTGTCTGCTACAGCTACCATACCATCATCCCTAGGCCTGTCACAACTGGCATATCAACGGCTTATTCAAAATATTAAATGTAGAAACGTCGTTAAGAGACTAACGGATGTCGTATACAGTCCTCATATTTGATTAAAAAAAAGTAAATACGTCAACTGGGAATTCAACTGGATGTTACCTTCCTTTAATCAGCTAACAGCCCTGTTTATGAAAATATGTACTAGACATAAGATTTAAAGAAACATTAAAGTGTTATATAATACTTGGGAACATGAGCAATAAGATGTAGCAACATAAACATGCATGGAATGGAATAGGGAAAATGATGAAAACAAATTGAAATAGATTTTAATAAAACATTATTGTACTAAATAACTTGCAAAAGCGGTGCCCAAAATTGTTTGACCTTGTTATGTGTGTTGTAGACTGACGACTAGCAAGTAATTGCCATGCTGTACGCATGGTTCCATATACAAATTCAGATATACAACCTGTATGAAACTGAGAACTGAGATGCCAAGTACATCCTGCATTCACACACGGAAGCAATATATTTGTGTGTATGCCCTCTCCTCTGAAAAATGTATCACAAAAGTATTTGCATTGTAATAAATATAGTAATAATAAAACTTGGTAAATTTGGTAGGTCTCCGACAGATATAATTTTCCGTTATTTTACACCTTTGATTGGTACATGTAGTCTAGTCACTGTCTCTAATGTATCTGCTTGTTAGAAATTTCAAATGTCTTGTTATAGCACTGTTCCTAGAATAAGGCAGTTTCTTTTATCGGGTATAAATAGTTGATTTGTCTTGTCACGCAGTCATTTTTACTTGAGCGAATGATTTCCACGAAAAATTCCGGCAGAGAGTTCTGTATTTTATTATATACATGTATTGTTAATTGTAAAAGATGCTTACATCACTGTATCTCAGAACGCAAAACTGATAACATTCAAACATGTAATTAGTACACAGTTAATTGTTACATATAATTTCCTGCATATTCCTTTTTGAACAAAAAGCCTACATGTATACTGAAATCGGTGTCCACTGTTAAAAGGGTATTAGTGCAGTCAGCCATGGTAAATGGAGAGACAATAATAAGGTGATTAATTATTGTCTGTTGCAGAATATGCGGTAAAAGTGTAGTCATTTATACATATACACATTACACATATACAGATGAAATACACGATATGATACAGTGCAAGATTGACTGAGCACACTTTTGTCGAGGTTGCGATATTTTCTTCTCTTTGTTGGCAGCCTGCCACCGGCCTGAATTTTGAGAAAGGTATCAACATGGGACTGTTAATTTCTTCTTAATGATGTCAACAAGCTTACAAACTTGTAGATGTTGGGGCGGTAAGGACCAAACCTTTTCAGCTCAGAGTGCCACTCTTCCCAGTGTTAGTGGTCCTGGAACCCATAGTGTCAAACAGGTTCTGCACAATACGTCCATCAGATTCAACTGTTCAGCAACATTGTCACTGAATTTCAGAACTCTGTAATGATCAAGGATTTCGAAGGGGAAAGGCAGACGCACATGGATTTACTCTTAGGTTATTATCGTCTGGAGTTAACATTTTTGGGCATTTCATATACTTATTGAACAAAGTTCACCTGCACATGTCCACTTTAGTGAGACAGACTGTAACCAAAAATGCAATGAGCTGTAGCTCTCAATCCCTTATAACAACGACAACAACAACCAGGGTGAGGGCACAGTAAGGTTAAACCGTGTCCACCAGACAATCTTACACATATCAATTTACGGACTTACAGGCAAGCACTATCAAGATTTAGATGCGGATGCCACAATTTAATGATTGAACTTGGACGAAGAATGAGATTGGATGAAGAAATGAGATAATGTTCATACTGTAGCAGTTGTGGATGTAATTGAAAACGAATATCATTTTTTACTTGTCTGCAAAGTCTTCTCTCAACTCCGGGAATCTTATATTCAACCTATTTATTATAAACATCCTTCTGTTACAACATTTGTAAAGCTAATTAATTCCAAATGCCCTCAAACACTATTAAATTTAAGTAAATACATATTTTCGCTTTTAAACTGTATCCTACACTTCATCAATAATTGCTTGTTGTTATGTATATATATTGTTTTAATCCTCTCGTGTATATTGTAACTATCTATTTTGTTTTAATATTGACAATGTATGTCCTGTGGGCCAGTGGCCTTTTTTACTTGAATATACACACACAGCAAGGCATCTGCTGTGATGACAGACAATCTCAGGTGGCTAACGCCATATCTCCCATCAAGTCAGCTCTATTTTTCAGCGCATAATTATTTTTTTACATTTTGAATAAAAGGAATTAAAGAAATCATATTTAACAAACCTACACATTACCAAATACAAAATTTTATAACCCTTTCTAGACTTTATTCCAATTAACCTGGATCATTCAACTCGCTCGCGAAGGTCGTATACGACTTTAAAG